CTACACAGCAACAAAGTGGATTTGGTGTCTTTATTTTTTTACAGCTCTTGAGACTAAAGGTAAGCCTAATTTATGCTTCTACGTTATGCTAAAATAGACATTTCTCGGTGATTTTCCAGATATTGTATCGAATGCCAATTGATTTCAACCCCAGCGACCGAAAGCAGAAGAGAATCAAGTGTATCAGAGCAGTGAATTTGAACAAATTGAAGGTCAGTTATATTCAGTGCTACATTGACACGAAGTGACGTATTTTATTACTTCGTTTTGTGCCATATTTACTGCCATTAAATTCAATTTTACAAAATTCGTAAATATTACAGATTCCGTCCTAGGACGGACAAACAAAGCTAGTACATATATAAAAAATAATTATAAATACCTACGACTAATTAGCTGAGAACATCTTCATATATCGAGGACTGCAGAACAATCGTTGGCTGCTCCACCGCCTTTGTAGCAGCCTTCCAGACGCAATTCACACGAGCGACGTCGCAAAAATAGCAAAACGAATCGTTAGATTTATTATAATGTGGCCTGAAACGTAAATACATATATATAGAGATATGTGTTTATATTATTAACAAGGGAAAATCCATTGCTGGATCGACTGTACCACGTGATCGCCGCAACAAACATTCCCCGTAATGTAATGTGGCAGTAACATTCTCTAATACGACTTTCACTGAGTTCGTGTAGCTAGTAACATTATGATTATTATTGAAGGCCGTTTGTCTGGTCTACTGAATGATTGCTATATCCCATTCATGTGCCTCTTGACAAAACGGGTCATCGCAATAATTATTTTGTTAGAATTGTCATTCTTATCGGGCCCTGGTGGCCAGGGTGTAAACTACTACATCCTCTCTACTGCCCTGTCCCTCATTATTTGCTGTGAAGAAGGGCCATGGGCCGAAACGTCGTCTACATTTTTTTTAAAGCCACACGCGCGGTGCTGTTGTTATTGACGAGTACGTCTATTTGTTGACCAACATAATCATTACGTCATACGACTCCCGTGACGTCAACTACTTAGTATAAACATTGCAATATTTTTTTTCACGAAGCTATTATAATCTAAAGGAGTATTTGCTAATTAATCGAAACTTCATTATTGTTCTTTTGCGATTTGACGCTTTGTTAGGAAATACTAAATATATCGTGGACCAAGATATATCGTACGATGTATATCGTGGTATATCGTGGCATCCCCGTATCGTGGGGACAGCGAATTGGAAACGATTGATTATTCACGCGCGTGATAAGTCGATATTAGCAGATGAATCTTAGCGCTTCGTGAGTCGTCCGGTTCCACTTGGGGTGGCATTTGCTACCAGTGTCCACCACGAGCAGTGTCCACCACTAGCAGTGTCCACCACTAGCAGTGTCCACCACGAGCAGTGTCCACCACTAGCAGTGTCCACCACTTTCAGTGTCCACCACGAGCAGTGTCCACCGTGAGCAGTGTCCACACGCAAACTCCAAATATGCAGCAGCAGGCGTCAGGGTCGGGATCGAACTCACGACCTCCTGTGTACCAGGCGAGGTAGTTAACATCTCCTCGCCGCCGTGGCGCCATGAATGAGATCTTTCTACATAAAACTACCACGCAATTCTTGCTATCATGCGTTTCTGCGATCCTTGCCTAACCTTATTCATGCAAATAATTGGTAGCATTTTTCCCCTTTCCGGGTACCGATGAGCATCGCACAGAGATCCAATACGCGGTCTGTGTCGCCCCCTGCAGTACGCGGGCAGTGTGACCACGGTCCTGGGCCTCCCTTAGGTCGACTCAGCCTCAAGTTGAGAACCTGGTGCGGTGTGTAGTAAACATCGCCGCTGGGGAGACAAAGGCGGTCGGGCGTGGTGCTGGCCACCCACCCCCTCGTGCGCCGTGCCGGCCTTCATAGGTGCTCGCTAACAGCACTTGCCCCATTTGTCTGTTCACGGCACCTCGGGGGGGGGGTCAGACATTTGTGACGATGTGTGACGAGGGGGGGGGGGGGTTGAGAAATGTGACGTCACATCAAAATGCGCAACTTTAAATAAATATAGACAACACGTTCAACTTAATTTAATCGACTTTTTAATAAATGTTTTCTCCTACAACATCAGAGTGCAGCGCCACATTAAATACGCGCTACAATGACAATAATTTTAATCGATTTGAAGCATTTTTTTTATTTTTTTGGGGGGGGGAGGCAGAGCTTTGTGACGTAATACTTGAGGGGGGGTCTGACTTTTTGTGACGCCGTGTGACGAGGGGGGAGGGGGGGTAAAAAATCGGCCAAAATCGCGTGACGTCATTTATGGACGGCCCTTAAACGCTTTCAAGCTATCAATTCCGGTTCATTGATTCTGCACTTGCTCTATTACTATAGTACTATACCGCCTTCAACTTTTACGAACGACCGGGTGTTAAAGGTTAGCGATTTGTCGTATCATCTGGCTGTACAGCAAATGAAAAAATACAATTACTTTGCCATGCCAGTTAAACATTAGTGTGTTTTAATAATCACGTTAAGTGTTAAGGCAGCTGAAACATGATTCACCTGATCCGTGTTTGTTTTTGGGTTAGGCCGCGAGGTAGTTTCCACGCCATGAATTTAGGGCCCATTCGTAACATCAAACATGCTCCAGGCCCCCCACTAGCTTCATGGGGCACTGCCCGTGTAAACATCAGTATCTCATCGCGAACAGCTCGCAGAGGCTGTCACGGGGGTGGGGGTGTGTGGGGTGGGGTGTGTGGTGTGGGGGTGTGTGTGGGGGGGGGGTGTGTGGGTGGGTGTGTGGGGTGGGGGGTTGATCTTCGACTCAACTCGTGGAAATTTCCCCGCAGAATTTAGCGCGTGGCGGAATTTCTGTTTTTTTTTAAACCCCAAACATTACACGGAGCCGTGAACGCGCTTGGGATCTCTCCGCTTGGCGGACGAGTTGCCGTGGCGAGGAGTCGGAGCCATTCCCTGTTCACCTTTGGGCTGTGACGGGGATATATCCTCTGCCTGCTACATTATTTAATGTGTTTTTGTTATGTTTTTTTATCACGCAGTAGGAGAAGTTTTGGGGCCGTCCATAAATGACGTCACGCGATTTTGAACGATTTTTTACGCTCCCCCCCCCCCCCCTCGTCACACGGCGTCACGGAAATTCAGACCCCCCCTCAAATATGACGTCACAAAGCTCTGCCCCCCCCCCCCCAAATAAAACATGCTTCAAATCGCTTTCAACTATTGTCATTGTAGTGCGTGTTTAATGTGGCGCTGCACTCTGATGTTGTAGGAGAAAACATTTATTAAAAAGTATATTTAATTAAGTAGAACGTGTTGTCTATATTTAAAGTTGCGCATTTTGACGTGACGTCACATTTCTCAACCCCCCCCCCCCCTCGTCACACATCGTCACAAATGTCTGACCCCCACCCCCCCCCCCCTAGGTGCGTGACGTCATTTATGGACGGCCCCTTTCCCATGACCGGACCAAGGGATTATTATCCATCGGGTACAGACGCAATGGGAAGGCTGATCGATGCCCCACGTGTCACCAAGGGACGGCTCACGACTAATCAACCACGTGATGTACGCTCAAGAATGTGGTGATTGGTGCTCACCCCTGAGACGGAGTTGGGAGACTCAGTCAGACGAAAACAATTCACCCACCTGGGCATTTCATTTCATCTGACACTCCAACCCCTCAGCTCTATACAAGCAATGTGACACTTGTGGACAGAGTGGAGGAGTTCCCCTACCTGGGCAGTGTGCTTATTGACCACCACCGCATTGGCAGCGGGACGTCTCACTCCGAATCAGCGCAGAGGCATCAGCATCTCATGAGCTGTGAACATATCGCGAAAACCGTGGCCACTTTGCAGCTTCGAAACATCCTGCGACGATCTTTGAAGGGTCTGGACAAAGTCGCATCGGTGAGCTCAGTTTGGCAGGCGAGGCCACATTGGCTGGGTCACGAGGCCAGCGTGCCCAGCTAACGCCATGCCGAGGCAGCTTTTGTTCGGCCGGACAGAGAGGGGGCTAAACGGGGGCGCAGCACGGGCTGGAGAAGAGATGCAGCCGATGCGGTATACAGGAAGGAGGACGTGGAGTTGAGTGGACTTGCCGATGAGCGGTACCAGCGGTGTCAACATCGGTCTCTGTGGAAGAGGCAGCTCGTGAAGGACGCCGCTGCTGCTACTGAGCGGTAGGAGGCAGTCGCCCTCCAGTAACAGCGGAGGGCAGAGGAGCGACGGCTCACAATAGCGAGCGGAGCGCCGGGTGGATGAGACGCAGCGATTTGGCGAAGCGCAGATGGTGGTGCATCTGCCGGTCATCTCAGTCGAGCAAACCATAGCACCTGGGTAGGCCGACATAGAGGTGGGTGATCAGGGGAGATCGGGGGGGCTGGGGGGGGGATAGTGGTGGGGATCAGGGGGAGGTAGAGGGATCATGGGTGTGTGTGGGGGGGGGGGGTCAGGAGGAGCTAAGAAGAGCTTTGAGGATCAGGGGGAGGGGGGTTATGAGTAGGGGGGGGGGGTCACGGGAACATATAATCAGGAGGGTGGGATCAGGGGGTTCGGGGGTGGGGTGGGATCGGGGGAATAAAGGGGGGGGGGCAGGGGATCAAGGGGTGGGGTCCAGGGGGAGACAGGGCGAGGGGAGGGAATGGGATCAGGGGAAGGAGGAGGAGAGAGTGGGGGAGTGGGGGAGGAGGAGGGGGAGTGGGGAAGGAGGAGGGGTGTGGGGGAGAGAGTGGGGGGGAGGAGGAGAGAGAGTGGGGGGGGAGGGAGAGTGGGAAAGGTGGGGGAGGAGGGGGGAGAGTGGGGGGGGGGGAGGAGAGAGAGTGGGGGGGGGGGAGGAGAGAGAGTGGGGGGGAGGAGGAGGGGGAGGAGGAGGGGGAGGAGGAGGGAGAGTGGGGGGGGGAGTGGGGGAGGTGGAGGGAGAGTGGGGGGGAGAACGGGGTCCAAGGGGAGGGGGCTCTGGGGGCGTGCCCGTGCCGTCTCCACGCCCCATCCACGCGTGCGCAGGGCCGATCGCTCTCGGCTCTCGGTGCGGGCGGCGCGCGCGTTGTTTGTATCTCCAATTTACAGCGGCCATCATCACCACCATCATCACCATCACCACCACCATCATCACCATGGTCACCACCCTAAGAAGCAGCGTCGACATCTATCACGAGCCTCGGCCTCGTTCGCACGATCATCATCAGTAGCAGCATCATCATCATCAGTAGCAGCATCAGCAGCAGCACCAACGTCATCATCATCATCAGCAGCAGCATCATCAGCAGCACCAACATCATCATCAGCAGCAGCATCAGCAGCAGCACCAACATCATCATCATCAGCAGCACCAACGTCATCATCAGCATCAGCACCAATATCATCATCATCAGCAGCACCAACATCATCATCATCAGCAGCACCAACGTCATCATCAGCATCAGCAGCAGCACCAATATCATCATCAGCAGCATCAGCAGCACCAAAGTCATCATCATCAGTAGCAGCATCAGCAGCACCGACGTCATCATCATCAGTCGCAGCAGCATTAGCAGCACCGACGTCATCATCATCATCAGCAGTAGCAGCATCATCGCCACCAACGTCATCAGCAGCAGCGACAGCGGCGGTGCTCATCATCTCCGTCCACCCGCTCATCGCATCGCGACCCTCCCGGCATTTGTAATAAACCACCACACCACCCTCACCACCCTCACCACCTCCCTCACCACCCTCACCACCCACTCAGCACCCTCACCACCCTCACACCACCCACACCACCCTCACCACCCTCACCACCCACTCAGCACCCTCACCACCCTCACACCACCCTCACCACCCTCACCACCCACACATCACTCTCACCACCCTCACCACCCCCTCACCACCATCACCACCCAAACACCACCCTCACCACCCACACACCACCCTCACATCACCCTCACCACCCTCACCACCCACACATCACCTTCACCACCCTCACCACCCACACACCACCCTCACCACCCTCACCACCCTCACCACCCTCACATCACCCTCACCACCCTCACCACCCACACACCACCCTCACCACCCTCACCACCCTCACCACCCACACACCACCCTCACCACCCTCACCACCCTCACCACCCTCACCACCCCTCACCACCCACACACCACCCTCACATCACCCTCACCACCCTCACCACCCACACACCACCCTCACCACCCTCACCACCCACACACCACCCTCACCACCCTCACCACCCTCACCACCCACACACCACCCTCACATCACCCTCACCACCCTCACCACCCTCACCACCCTCACACACCCTCATCCTCACCACCATCCCACCCACACACCACCCTCACCACCCTCACACCCCTCACCACCCACACCACCCTCACCACCCACACACCACCACACATCACCCTCACCACCACACATCACCCTCACCACCCTCACCACCACAATCACCCTCACCACCCTCACCACCCACACACCACCCTCACCCCACACACCACCCACACATCACCCTCACCACCCTCACCACCACACACCCCCTCACACCCACACCACCCACTCACCACCCTCACCACCCACACACCACCCTCACCACCCACACCACCCTCACCACCCACCACCCACCACCCACCACATCACCATCACCACCACACACCACCCTCACCACCCACACACCACCCTCACCACCCACACACCCCCCTCACCACCCACACACCACCCTCACCACCCACACACCACCCTCACCACCCTCACAACCCTCACCACCCACTCACCACCCTCCCACCCCCTCACCACCCTCACACCACCCTCATCCCTCACCACCATCACCACCCACACACCACCCTCACCACCCTCACACCACCCTCACCACCCACACACCACCCTCACCACCCACACACCACCCACACATCACCCTCACCACCCACACATCACCCTCACCACCCTCACCACCCACACATCACCCTCACCACCCTCACCACCCACACACCACCCTCACCACCCACACACCACCCACACATCACCCTCACCACCCTCACCACCCACACACCACCCTCACCACCCACACCACCCACTCACCACCCTCACCACCCACACACCACCCTCACCACCCACACACCACCCTCACCACCCACACACCACCCTCACCACCCACACATCACCATCACCACCCACACACCACCCTCACCACCCACACACACCCTCACCACCCACACCCCCCTCACCACCCACACACCACCCTCACCACCCACACACCACCCTCACCACCCTCACAACCCTCACCACCCACTCACCACCCTCACCACCCACACACCACCCTTACCACCCACACACCACCCTCACCACCCACACACCACCCTCACCACCCACACATCACCCTCACCACCCACATCACCCACACACCACCCTAACCACCCACACATCACCCTCACCACCCACACCACCCACACACCACCTTCACCACCCACACCACCCACACACCACCCACACACCACCCACACACCACCTTCACCACCCACACACCACCCTCACCACCCACACATCACCCTCACCACCCACACACCACCCTCACCACCCACACACCACCCTCACCACCCACACCACCCACACACCACCCTCACCACTCACACACCACCCTCACACCACCCTCACATCACCCTCACATCACCCTCACCACCCTCACCACCCACACCACTCACACACCACCCTCACCACCCACACACCACCCTCACCACTCACACACCACCCACACACCACCCACACCACCCACACACCACCCTCACCACCCACACCACCCACACACCACCCTCACCATTCACACACCACCCTCACACAACCCTCCCCACCCTCACACCACCCCCACCACCCACACATTACCCACACATCACCCCCACCACCCACACATCACCCACACATCACAATCTCGGACGATCTTACAATCCATCCACGCACCAAAATCACCATCCATCGCATCCACTCAATTCGTTGCACGGCCCACATCTAGTCACCCTTCCCAATCCCCACACACATCCCGTGTGCAATCCAGCCCCATCCACACGCACCCAATCCTCCTCCACGCCATCCTCCCGCATCTCCCATCCCCCCATCACTCACGTTATTGGGCAAGTCACATTGGCACAAAACCACAAATCCTTCTCCCCCATCACCACCCACCCTCTCTCATCACCCACCCACCCCTCCTCTCCCCCTCCCCACCCACCCACCCCTCCTCTCCCCCTCCCCACCCACCCACCCACCCCTCCTCTCCCCCTCCCCACCCACCCACCCACCCCTCCTCTCCCCCTCCCCACCCACCCACCCACCCCTCCTCTCCCCCCCTCCCCACCCACCCACCCCTCCTCTCCCCCTCCCCACCCACCCACCCCTCCCCCTCCCCACCCACCCACCCACCCCTCCTCTCCCCCTTCCCACCCACCCACCCACCCCTCCTCTCCCCACACAGAGCCCACAAAGATGTCCCTGCCCGCGGACGAGCGATGCCAACCGCTGCGAGGCGCCGCTCTCGACGAGGTGATGTCCTCCACGGACAACTTCCTCTTCGACTGCGACGGCGTCCTGTGGCGAGGCAACCGAGCCCTCGACGGGGCTCCGGCCGCGGTGAACGCCCTGAAGCGACTGGGCAAGCGCGTCTTCTTCGTCACCAACAACAGCCGCAGGACGCGCGCCATGCACCGCGAGAAGCTGCGGCGCCTCGGGTTCCGCGCGGCGCGTCGCGACGTCTACGGCTCCGCGTTCCTCGCCGCGCAGTTCCTGCGCCTCGAGGCGCCGCCGCACGGGCGCGTCTACGTGATCGGGGACGCAGCCGTGTGCCGCGAGCTGAGCGACGCGGGCATCAGGTGAGCTGGGGGTGGGGTGGGGGGGGGGGAAGATTGGGAGGGGAGTAATGGAGGGATGGAGGGAGGGGGGAGTCTGGGGGATGGGAGGAGGGGAGGGATGGGCGGAGGGATGGGGGGAGGGGAGGGAGGGGGGAGTCTGGGGGGAGGGGAGGGATGGGGGGGGATGGAGGAGTGGAGGGAGGGGGGAGTCTGGAGGGAGGGGGGAGTCTGGGGGGAGGGGGGAGTCTGGGGGGAGGGGGGAGTCTGGGGGGAGGGGGGAGGGGAGGGATGGGGGGGGATGGAGGAGTGGAGGGAGGGGGGAGTCTGGAGGGAGGGGGGGGTCTGGGGGGAGGGGGAGGGGAGGGATGGGGGGGGGGAGGATGGGGGGAGGGGAGGGATGGGGGGGGGAGTGGAGGAAGGGGGGAGTCTGGAGGGATGGAAGGAGGGGGGAGTCTGGGGGGAGGAGAGGGAAGGGGGAGTCTGGGGGGAGGGGGGAGTCTGGGGGGAGGGGGGAGTCTGGGGGGAGGAGAGGGAGGGGGGAGCCTGGGGGGAGGTAGGAGTCTGGGGGGAGGGGAGGGAGGGGGGAGTCTGGGGGGAGGGGGGAGTCTGGGGGGAGGGGAGGGAGGGGGGAGTCTGAGGGGAGGGGGGAGTCTGGGGGGAGGGGAGGGAGGGGGGAGTCTGGGGGGAGGGGGGAGTCTGGGGGGAGGGGAGGGAGGGGGGAGTCTGGGGGGAAGGGGGAGTCTGGGGGGAGGGGAGGGAGGGGGGAGTCTGGGGGGAGGGGGGAGTCTGGGGGGAGGGGAGGGAGGGGGGAGTCTGGGGGGAGGGGGGAGTCTGGGGGGAGGAGAGGGAGGGGGGAGCCTGGGGGGAGGGGGGAGTCTAGGGGGAGGTAGGAGTCTGGGGGGAGGGGAGGGAGGGGGGAGTCTGGGGGGAGGGGGGGGAGTCTGGGGGGATGCTGCGGCCGTGTGCCGGCAGGTGAGCGACGCGGGCATCAGGTGAGACGCGAGGGGGGGGGGGTGTGGAGGCGTGTGGGATGAATCGATGAGCAAGAGGGAGGAGTGGTGAGAGAGAAGTGTAAACATGGCTGGGTGGAGAGAGACAGATGAGGGAATCTGGCAACAGGTAAAGATGACGACAGAATGGGGCGGGAGGGAGGGAGAGGAGTGGGGGGGGGGGCATGCGGCGAGGTGTTGAGAGGGGTGGGGGTGAAGGATGTGCTCAGTACCGGGTTAAGATGAGTGCGGGGCCTGTAGCACATGATGTTATAACGGGGCCCTAAATAAAATTAAATAAACACGTAAATATTAAAAGACATTTTTAACTTGCATCGTAAAGTAATTGGATTTTTTCATTTGCTATACGACCAGATAATACGACAAATCGCTAACCTTAAACACCCAGTCGTTCGTAAAAGTTGAAGGCGGTATAGTACTACAGTAATAGAGCAAGTGCAGAATCAGGAATTGATAGCTTGAAAGCATTCGTAGCGAGGGGGCCCTTGAAAGCGCGGGGCCCGTAGCTGCATGTGTAGCTACTTTTGCTGCGAGGATAATCGGGCACTGGGTGTGTTGCTGAGAGCGACGGAATGAGGAGCGGTGGGAAGCCAGGAGGAGGAGGAGGGGGAGGATGGAAGGATGAAGATCTTCCCACAGGTGGGGCTTGTCCCTCCCATGACACCTCGATTATCCCGCGCTCATATCGTCTCCTCTTGCGTAATAATGTTCGTCGCTGCGACTTGCCGAACCCTGCGCCCCGACTGGACGCCATCGGATCCCTCCTCCCGCAGTCTCACCAAAGACTCCGACTATTTCCTCCTTCCTATCCTCACCATACTTCCCCACAATTCTCTCACCACCCACCACCAACCGTGTAGCTACGTTGAGGCCGGGCCCGAGCCGGCCTTTGGCGACGTGGAGCAGTGGACCAACCTGCCGCTGGAGCCGGACGTGGGCGCCGTGCTGGTGGCGTTTGACGAGCACTTCAGCTACATGAAGCTCATCAAGGCGTGCTGCTACCTGGCGCGCCCCGGGTGCCTCTTCCTCGCCACCAACCGCGACCACGCCGAACTCGTGGCGCCGGGGCGCGTGCTGCCCGGTACGCGGTGGGGGGGGGGGGGGGGGTGATGAGACACGGGGCAGTTGTGGATGAGACTCGGGGCAGTTGTGGATGAGACACGGGGCAGTTGTGGATGAGACTTGGGGCAGTTGTGGATGAGACACGGGGCAGTTGTGGATGAGACACGGGGCAGTTGTGGATGAGACACGTGGCAGTTGTGGATGAGACACGGGGCAGTTGTGGATGAGACACGTGGCAGTTGTGGATGAGACACGTGGCAGTTGTGGATGAGACACGGGGCAGTTGTGGATGAGACACGTGGCAGTTGTGGATGAGACACGTGGCAGTTGTGGATGAGACACGGGGCAGTTGTGGATGAGACTCGGGGCAGTTGTGGATGAGACACGGGGCAGTTGTGGATGAGACTTGGGGCAGTTGTGGATGAGACACGGGGCAGTTGTGGATGAGACTTGGGGCAGTTGTGGATGAGACACGGGGCAGTTGTGGATGAGACACGTGGCAGTTGTGGATGAGACACGGGGCAGTTGTGGATGAGACACGTGGCAGTTGTGGATGAGACACGGGGCAGTTGTGGATGAGACACGTGGCAGTTGTGGATGAGACACGTGGCAGTTGTGGATGAGACACGGGGCAGTTGTTGATGAGACACGTGGCAGTTGTGGATGAGACACGGGGCAGTTGTGGATGAGACACGGGGCAGTTGTGGATGAGACTTGGGGCAGTTGTGGATGAGACACGGGGCAGTTGTGGATGAGACTTGGGGCAGTTGTGGATGAGACACGGGGCAGTTGTGGATGAGACACGGGGCAGTTGTGGATGAGACTTGGGGCAGTTGTGGATGAGACACGGGGCAGTTGTGGATGAGACACGTGGCAGTTGTGGATGAGACACGGGGCAGTTGTGGATGAGACACGTGGCAGTTGTGGATGAGACACGTGGCAGTTGTGGATGAGACACGGGGCAGTTGTGGATGAGACACGTGGCAGTTGTGGATGAGACACGTGGCAGTTGTGGATGAGACACGGTGCAGTTGTTGATGAGACACGGGGCAGTTGTGGATGAGACACGGGTAGTGTGGATGAAACTCGGGGCAGTTGTGGATGAGACACGTGGCAGTTGTGGATGAGACACGGGGCAGTTGTGGATGAGACGCAGGGAGTGTTCGGGAACTCATTTTCAGAGGGGAGGTCACTTTCGCCGATAAGACATCGCGTCGGTGTGAGTGGGCCCCGGCCACACCGTTTGAAACCATTGGGGGTTTGACAGCAGCACGATGATGATGATGATTCTCGGGGGAGGGGGGGGGGCGCACGTCAGGGGGGCCACGCTGAAGGCCACCAGGGGCTGCCAGGAGTCATTTGGTGGAAGTGCGACGCTGAAGCCAATAGAAAGCGGCGATCCAGTCGCAAACACCAAAGTCAAAGGTCCCCCGCATAGCCTCGATGGACGATTGGGCGGGTCAAGTGCAGTCGGCGAGCGCCTGGTCTATGCACGCGTGTCGAACTTCTTTTGCGCCGTACGGTAGCCAACCGTGCTAATCGACGGCTTGAAATTAAACGGGGAAGTATAATGTCAGACACCGTGACGTCGAAGCGCGGGGGCGCTCCCCCCCTCCCCCAAAGCGCGGGGCCCGGGGCAGTCGCCCCGATTCGACGTAGCCTAGGGAGACAGCTGGGTCAGAGTTCTCGGTTTTTTGTTGTTCGTTGTTTACGCGCCCGAAGTGTTTTATTTATTTATTGAAACGACAACAAACGAACGAACAAACCAGGGGAAGGTCGAGCGTACTACCGGTCAGATAGGTGGGGTGGGGGGTTGGGGGGGGGTGCGGGGGGATGGAGCGGGAATGGTGCGCAAATGGGGCGACACTGACAAGCAGAGTGAGGGTCACGCACACACACAGGTGGCGGCGGCGGCTGTGGTGATGATGGTGATGATGACGGCAGGGTGGTGATGATAATGATGGGGGGCATGGGGCGATGATGATGATGATGATGGTGGGGTCAGTGATGAAGATTACGATGACGGGGGGGGGGGTGGCGCTGATGATAATGATGATGGAGGGCAGCTGTGATGGTGAAAGGGGGGCAGCAATGATGAACACGATAGGTGGGGGGCAATGGCAATGACGTCGATGATGACGTCGATGATGACGTCGATGATGACGTCGTCGATGACGTCAACGACAATGACAACGACCGTCCGCTCGCTCGCCCTCTCGCTCCGCGCAGTCACGGGCAGCCTGCTGGCGGCAGTGGAGACGGGCGCGGCGCGGCAGGCCACGGTGCTGGGCAAGCCGAGCCCCTTCATCCTGCGCTGCATCGCCGCCACGAGCCCCGGCGGGGCCCTGGACCCGGCACGCACGCTCATCGTGGGCGACCGCCTCGACATGGACGTGGCGTTCGGCAACGCGTGCGGCCTGCGGAGCGTGCTGGCGCTCAGCGGCGTCTCCAGCCTGGAGGATGCGCGTGGCTGCCTCGCGGAGCCCGCCCGCCGGCACCACGTGCCCGACTTTTACATCGAGAGCGTCGCCGACCTGCTGGGCGCGGCGCAGATCCGGGCGAACCCCGGGGCCGGCTCGGAGGAGGGGGAGGACGACGACTCGGATGGCGGCGTCTAAAGCGGCGGTGGGGAAGGGCGGGGGGGAGTGGCGGGGGGGGAGGGGATCCGGCGATTGGTGGTGGCGGTGACGGAAGTGGTGATGGCAGTCATATTAGTGATGGTGGTGGTGGCAGCGACTGGTCTTGATGGAAATGATGATAGTTGTGGTTCGTGGCGGTAGTGATTGGTAGTGATGGTGAGAGTGGTGGTGGAGACCCATCGCTCAGACCCATCACTTAGACCCGTATCTCAAACCCATCGCTCAGACCCATCACTTAGACCCGTATCTCAAACCCATCACTCAGTCAGTCCCATCTCTCAGACCCATAACTCAGACCCATCGCTCAGTCCCATCGCTCAGTCCCATCACTCAGACCCATCACTCAGACCCATCACTCTGACCCATCACTCTGACCCATCACTCAGTCCCATCACTCAGACCCATCACTCAGACCCATCGCTCAGTCCCATCGCTCAGTCCCATCACTCTGACCCATCACTCTGACCCATCACTCAGACCCATCACTCTGACCCATCACTCTGACCCATCACTCAGACCCATCACTCTGACCCATCACTCTGACCCATCACTCTGACCCATCACTCAGACCCATCACTCAGACCCATCACTCTGACCCATCACTCAGTCCCATCACTCTGACCCATCACTCAGACCCATCACTCAGACCCATCACTCTGACCCATCACTCAGTCCCATCACTCAGACCCATCACTCAGTCCCATCTCTCAGACCCATAACTCAGACCCATCGCTCAGTCCCATCGCTCAGTCCCATCGCTCAGACCCATCACTCAGTCCCATCGCTCAGTCCCATCACTCAGTCCCATCACTCAGACCCATCACTCAGTCCCATCTCTCAGACCCATAACTCAGACCCATCGCTCAGTCCCATCGCTCAGTCCCATCGCTCAGTCCCATCACTCAGACCCATCGCTCAGTCCCATCGCTCAGTCCCATCTCTCAGACCCATAACTCAGTCCCATCGCTCAGTCCCATCACTCAGACCCATCGCTCAGTCCCATCACTCAGTCCCATCGCTCAGTCCCATCACTCAGTCCCATCTCTCAGACCCATAACTCAGTCCCATCGCTCAGTCCCATCACTCAGTCCCATCGCTCAGTCCCATCGCTCAGTCCCATCACTCAGACCCATCACTCAGTCAGTCCCATCTCTCAGACCCATAACTCAGTCCCATCGCTCAGTCCCATCACTCAGACCCATCGCTCAGTCCCATCACTCAGTCCCATCGCTCAGTCCCATCACTCAGTCCCATCTCTCAGACCCATAACTCAGTCCCATCGCTCAGTCCCATCGCTCAGTCCCATCACTCAGACCCATCGCTCAGTCCCATCACTCAGTCCCATCGCTCAGTCCCATCACTCAGTCCCATCGCTCAGTCCCATCACTCAGTCCCATCACTCTGACCCATCTCATACAACTGCAGTGTACTAAATCAGACACACTGGTAGGAGGCTTTATCCCTCTTGTTTATTCCGGCTCTCACAGCCATAGGGGATAACTCCACACCGGGTCGGGACAGCCAACATGCTTCCAGACCCACAGCTTGAAGAGGCGAAGCCCACGACGACTATTTACTATTTAAAGTTTTATTAATTTCTCAACCATGGACAGTCCTGTCCCGGACAGCCAAAAAGAAGCATGACCACAACCCGCACAAGAGATCTTACCCCACGATATCAGGAGCCCTTACTACTCCCCCACACATCAAGTGCACCGATTACGACAGACGAGGAAATATTTCCGTCTTAATCGCAACATTTTCGAGCGAGAGTTCGTGGTGGTCGAAGAAAAAAACACTCGTCCATTCTCAGTGGCGGAGGACTTTTCCAAGCTTGGTTCTCTTCATCCAGTGCCACACGGGGGTGGAGGCCACCGCCAAGCGCGGAAGGGTCCGGGCTTGGCCCAAGGGTCTAACTGGTAGAGCGGGCTGCTACCCCCAATCCCATTGTCTACCAATCTCCCCGTGCCACGCGCTGCAGTGACTCATTCAATGTCACTACACAACCACCATTCAGTCCCATAACTCACACCCATCACTCGCACACATCACTAAGACCCATCTCATACAACCATCACTCGGTCCCATCACAGAATCCTCACGCAGTCTCATCACTCAGATTGATTCGTTCATAAGTGAACTGAACCCCGTTAATCCCGTGGCTTTCCCCGCCCAAGGTCTCCCCGCAGGAGACGGGGTGGAGCAGTGGCCGCCGAGTCTCTCTCCTTGTTCGGTGTTCATGATTGTGTTCCGCTTCCTGTCCGTTTACGTTCCGCGATGTTCGCGCGCTTGCGAGCGGTGGTGTCGCGGTTATTGCGCTGCGCCACGAACCCGGTGGGGCCGGGTTCGATTCCCGCTCACGGCCACTCAACACCCAGTAACGGTTATCTGAACCGGTCCTGGGCCTCACCTAGGTCGACTCGGCCTCAAATAAGCACCTGGTGCGATGTGTGAGCATCGCCACTCGGGAGATACAGGCGGCCCAGCGTGGTGTTGGCCACCCACCCCCTCGTGTGTCGTGCCGGCCTTCATAGTTGCTCGCTTAACAGCACTTGCCCCAGCAGTCTGTTAAGGCTATACCGGGATCTCTGTCTGTCATCTAGGTCATCATCATCTTCGTGGTCGCCTTCGACACTTCACGTGGCCTCGGAGTGCACCTGGCCTGGCACAAGCTCCCGTGGCGGCGACGTCACCGCCACTTGGTGGCGAACGGCAGCTGCTGTTGTTGTTGTAGTCGAAGCACCGCGCGGAATACGAGTCGCGGTTTAACCTCTGACCCACGACACTTTCCGGAACGCTGCACTTTGCCAGGCCGGCTTGAGCAGACCGTGGTTATATCGGCGCGAGACACCGCCACTGACGTACAAGGCAACGCCTCTACACGCAGATAATACAAATTAACCTTTATTATTGTAAATCTTGACTTAAAGCAGGAATACATTCTATTGGTCTTTCGGTAAAGCCACGTAGATAGAATGTTCTTTAAAATATCAGGCAATTGCTTGTGTTGCGATAGAAACGTCGTGATATTTTATTTATATTTATTATTGTAGCCTACGTGCTTATAATCCTGCGGAACTGGTTTAGAGCAAAACAACAAAAGTGGACTGCACAAAGATCAGGCGGGGGAGAGGTATCGTGGCTGGGTGGCAGAACCTAAAATAGAACTTCTCGGAAAAGAGCGTTCTGGACCCCGTTCCGGCCGAGCTAAATTACACTTTCCGGGCTCAGCTACGCCTCGTAAACAACAATAACAACAACATGTCGAGTCGTCGATTACGAAGGGAGGATTCAGCAGCGCAGCGGTTTACGTTTGTCGATTCAGCTCCCAACACCACACGGTCGGGCGGTGACGTCGTTTTATTTATTTCGCAAGGAGCGAGGGCCAGGGTTCTGGGCGATTGGGGGGGGGGGGGTCTCCTTGGCTGGGGTTCATCATTGTCAGATAATCACCTGGTGCGCGGTAAATGTCGTCAAGTCTGTTTAGCGCTTCCTGAATATTCTAGACTACGCGTGACGTGCGTGGGTGCAGCGATGCGGCGACGATGCACGGAGTCGATTGAGCGGTCCATAGAGCAATCGGTCAGTCAATCGATCGAGCGGTCGATCGATCAAGCGGTCGATCAATCAAGGGGTCGGTCGGTCGATCGAGGGGTCGGTCGGTCGAGCGGCCAATCGTGCGATCGATCGTGCGGTCGATCGATCGTGCGATCGATCGTGCGGTCGATCGATCATGCGATCGATCGAGCGGCCAAGCGAGCGGCCGGTCGATCGTGCGGGTCTGTACTTTACAAAACGTGCCACGGTGGCGATGAAACGCGCCGCCACGAATCTCCGAGCACAATCGGCGCTTCAGCAGTCTGAGTGAGTCCTTCACCCCCCCGCCCCGCTCTGCTGTGAGCAACCGGTCAAGCAACCGCTCGCAAGACGGTCCACGTGGAGGGCGATGCCGTTGACACACGCGCAAGCCCAGCCGATCCGCGTGCAATTGGACCGTCGCTCGGTGCTGTGGAAGCAGTGCCGGATTAAGCTAAGTGCGGGACCTGCAGCGTATGATGTTATTAAGGGACCCTAAAAAAAAAACGTCAATATTAAAACGCAAATCTTAAACTTGCATAGTAAAGCAATTGTATTTTTTCATTTTCTAGACAAATCGCTAACCTTAAACGCCCAGTCTATACAAGTTGAAGGCGGTATAGTACTATAGTGACAGAGCAAGTGCAGAATCACTGAACCGGAATTGATTGCTTGAAAGCATTTAACGCGGGGCGCTTGAAAGTGCGGGGCCCGTAGCTACTACAAACAGTAGCTACTTGTGCTACTGGGATAATCCGGCACTTCGTGGAACATACGCCACACCACAGCGCTAAGTTTAAATTCAAACTAAAATCGATTCCTGAATTGCGCACGAACCGCATCCGTTGCACCCCCTTAGAAGGGGGGGGGAGTATTTTAACATTAGCGTCAAACTTATTAGCCTTCGCCAAATCGTCCTGAAGTAACCGTGATCATAATGATAATACGAATATTTGTTGTAACAATGTCTATGGTACGGTGGTTATATTTGTTAACTTACCCTGGACAACCCGTTTAGAATACAACTCGAGCGACACCCATACGGGTGTGGGGATATTTGATGTCAAGGGGTGAGGGGAGCGGGGGGGAGCCGGGGGGTCAATTGGGAGGGGGGGGGGTCGACCGATATTCTGTGCCCCCCCCAAATGAATATCCTTGGCTCTGTGGATTCCCTAACTCCCCCGCCCGCCCCCCCCAAATATGAAACATCAACTGCTCCCACGCGCCTGCAAACGGAGCTACAGGGACGTGGGCGTTCTTCTCGCAGCTGTTAAAGATGCCACCGTGTGTGCCGCCGTGTGACGATGCCGTGATGTTACGTGTGTGGTGGTGGTGGTGTGTGTGTGTGGTGTGTGTACCGTATTTATTGATTAAAACATTACAATAACCCTTCCCCCGGCTTCCCCTCCCACAACCCCCCCCCCAAAAAAAAAAAACGATAACCGATTGTTTACGTTGGTGTTTTTTCGGGACTTTGTCATAACGACGAGTGGTCTTCCGACGGTCACAGCGCGGCGTCGTACCCCTGTCCCACCACGGGACGCGAGCTCCCGCCTGGAGCGAGACGAGGAACTACGCGGGCCTGGAGTCCGCGAATCTCCCCACCCCGTGAAAGCGCAGAGGTCACCAACCCCCTTCCCGCGTTGCAGTGCACATGACATCCGCACGGGAGGGGGGGTGGCATTCAGGCGTCACCTTGCCTCTGGCACCCGTGTGGGAATGTGCTCGCGATTCCTCCCACGGGCGTATAAAAGACGAATGCGTGGAGGTGGCCCAGTGAATAGGCAACCGAAACGGCAAGAGCGGACACTTTGTTTTCGAATTCGGTAACAAAGCGTCAAGGGCTCGCGATGTCAAGGGCCGCAATGCGCGTCGTGAATACGAGACGGTGGTGGTGGTGGGCCTTCGTGAGCCGCTCCGCAGCCGCAGGTTTGCCGACCCCTGCCTATGGTAAAACTGGACTTCATGGTAAACTAGAATCACATGGTGAACTGGATTCATGGTAAACAGGACTTCCATGGCGAACTGGACTCACATGGTGAACTGGGACTCCCATGGTTAACTAGACTTTCAAGGTCAGAGGTCGCAAACAGAAAAACAAGAAGCGACAATTTTTTTCGAATTTCAAGATCCACACTGCAGTCCTTAACGAGCCGCCGGTTGTCGACCCCTGCCGGAGTTTGCAGAGCTTGGGCAATTGTTGGGTGCCGGTTCTGGTTATCTCTCCGTTTGTCCGTGATCTCCCGCGCATCTGCGCCGGCTTCCACCGTGAACCCCGCTGCTTTCAGACGCGGCAGGAGATCGCAGTGGAGATCAGTGGAGATCGCAGTGGAGAGCAGTGGAGATCGCAGCGGAGATCAGTGGAGATCGCAGTGAGATCAGTGGAGATCGCAGTGGAGATCGCAGTGGAGATCGCAGTGGAAATCTGTGGAGAGCGCAGTGGAGATCGCAGTGGAGATCGCAGTGGAGATCGCAGTGGAGGTCAGTGGAGATCGCAGTGGAGATCAGTGGAGATCGCAGTGGACAGGAATCGTGGTCCGGTGCGACTGGGCAATCATTGCCCAGTCGCACCGCACGCCGCTCTCAGAAGCAACGCGCTCGCCCCAGACGACCCCAATCCTCTTGCCCCGTCGCACTGCACAAACGCGCGCTCGCTCGCCGCAAAACCCACGAGCTCAACCCCCAGGTTTTATATAAACTGTTTTAATGTGGAACAACAACAAAAACAAAAAAATACCCCCACCGACACCTGCAGCAACTGTTGGTCGGACAAACAGATCCATGCACGTTTCGACGGCGCAAGCGGCCAGCTTAGTTTGGTGGCCAATCGCCAAATGCGTCGTGGGAGTCCCCTTGACGCTCCGTGCGTCTTAAAAAGGCGAAGTCGCCACACGTCCGTGGTGGTAGATGCCAAAAAAAGGCAACACACAGGACGAGATGCCAGCGACGACGGAGGACCCGTCGCGCCGTCTCTCGAACGTCGAGTGCTTTTTTGTTATATATATAAAGTCTACAAGTTATGTTTAAGAATGTCGATAACCAAAAAAATTGCAAAAAAGAAACATACGTATACGTTACATTCAGCCGTGCAAGTTAAAGTACAGTCACGGCTACAATATTGTTATTTTAAAAAATTCGATATTCCAACTAAACATGCGACCAAAGTCATTAAATACAAACGCGTCAACGTCTCGAACCGCAGGGCGGTCCTGAACCACCCGGGTGACAAGGCCAAGGGAGCGTCTCTCTCGACATTGGCGGCTCGGCTCGGCACGGCATGCCTCCTGAACGGCACTAGGCTGGCTCGGCACGGCACCAGCGCGGCTCGGTTGTAGTGGAGAGAGGTATTAGCGACACTGAAATCGACTAAAAATAAAAAAACAAACTCGAGTGCGTACATGAAGCCTGGGTTGACGCGCGTCGGTTTTTGTTTGTTTTAATGACGAGCTTTGGGGACCACGTGGAGATACGCCACTGAAAACTTCTCAAGAAAAGCCAAGTGCTGGTCAATGCAGCAAAATTAACATGCGGCCATCGGTGTCCTTTCGGGACGCTCCACTGTCGCACGAGTGTGGGGTTCGGACTGTGATCCCTACAGGGACTTTTTCTTTACTCCAGACTGTGAATGCCAAATTACTCTGGGCTGCAAGCAAAACGACTCTGAAGAAATCCTAACAGGATTTAAGAGGGGCGGGGGGGGGGGGGGGGAGACCCCCCCCCTCAGATTTGTTAATAGCACTGCCCAAATTGAAAATAAAGACGTTTCGGGCAATGTCCCTTCTTCATAGCACAAGTTACCATTTAAGCGTTGGAGAATGTTAAGAGCAACAATAATTTACAAAAAAGGGGGTAAGAGTTTTGTTTACAACACCACCATAGAGGGCTAACCGGCCATCTGGAAGCCAACACAGCATTGATTCCGGGCAAAGCTCACGGCGGCTGATGAACTGGTCATTGCCCCAAAAAACGTCGCCCATTATCCCACACGTTTCCCCTTTAAGGCAGCGCTATTGACGAATGCGCTTCGTGTAGTTAGTCGTGCGTCCGCACCGCTGCCAACGCATGCAGCAGCAGCAGGCAGCAGCAGCAGCATCACCACCAACAACATGGTTTTGTGGCACTCGCGAATGGGATTTGGACGTCTCGCCTCTGGCAGCGCTCACTATTGTGACCCTCACGTGATCTCGTGTCCAAGTCTGGCAACGTTCGGATGACCCCCCCCCCAACCCCCCTCAACAACAACAAAACAAAATTACGCGCGGACGAAGCCACCGCACACAAGCGGGCGGTGGAGACGCACGCAGTTTTTACGCAAACTTAACAAAAAAAGCGCGATTTGACAATTACAAGGGCGGTGAGAGCCAGCGATGTGACCTATGGGGGGGGGTTGGTGATTTTTCTTCCCCCATTTCTAAAATTGCAGTACTTTTTTTACCCCCCCTCACTTTTTTTTTCCTGAGAAAATCAGCGGGGCCCCTGCCCCCTGCCCGGGTGGAAAGCACGATTTGATTTGTGAGATCGCACGCACGCGTCCGTGACCACCTTTACACGGGCAGTGGCTGAAAGATCGATTTTGGTTTTTGCTTTCAACCAAAAAAAATCAACAAGCGGCGTTGTTGCCGGCTGAGCAGAGGTTCTTCACTGCCCCTCCCCCCCAGGGTGAGCGTTTTGCCTCAGGGGAGGTTGCTGCCTGCATCTGAACTTTGACCCTTGTGTATGGACAGCACCGGCCCGGTGAACCTTGGGTTAGATATCAGTGTAAGAGAAATTAAAAAGAGCAATATTGATTTTTTTTTTAAGCGAACAATTCACTACTATAGTAATTCCTGTTTAACCAGTGCCTTTAATTTCAGCCGGAACAGTCCAGGTATTATTTTCGGAACGCCTTATCAATCTTTACTCGTTTAGGTCGCAATTTTTAATAACAGGATTACGGTAAACAATTATAGATGATTTATGACGGAGGGGCATACCTATGTAATCCTAAGTGGCGCTATCTTACACCAATAATATGATCGCTACTCCAAGCCGGGCCCTCACAGCGTTTTCGGATAATACCGAGGGGGCTGCGGTGTCGCATGCGGCGGGTTCGCGCGATCCACCCATGCCATGCATCCGCCGCCAGTGGGCTGCTACATTCGCTGCAATGCATATTCGTGCATGCGTAATCTATATTATTATTGTTACACTTCGGACTTGGCTCTTCCGATTCTGGTCGATTGCACAGCGACCAGGCTTTGCTCTATGGGAGACGGAGCTTTTCGCAGCCACATTGTGGAACTCGCTCCCCAACCCCCCCCACCGGCCCATTTGAGAGTCTGTTACACTTTTTAAAAGTTGCGTCTTAGAACTCCCCTGGTTGTACACGCAGGCCTTCTCCGTAACGTAAGCTTTGTGTAATGCGCTTTGGGGCCTTGTGTGAATTGCGCTGTCGAAAATCGAGTTTATTACCGTGATAAAATAAACGGAATCGATTTTTCCAATAGAATTGCAACCCTGAAATGTAATTGTTGGGATGGGGGGCAGCCTTTAAAATGGCATGAGGCGAGAGGGAGTCAAACAGGAGGTAGCTATGGAACCCGGCAAGTTAATATGGAGGTCAGGAAGGTCAAACAGCATCCGCCGCGAGTAGTCCAATTACCCAACCCCAGGCTATCGCACCTTCTTGGGATCACCCGAGACGACATCGGAGAAGATTCTAAAACAAGTGTCCACAGCCATAGATCTGTGTGCAATAAAAGGGCATGTGGGGGGGGGGGTGGAGTGGTGGCGCAGCAGTTAACGCACCGTGCTAATATCATTGTAAAGTATTTGGCCACGTACAGAAATGATTATCTGTAAAATAGGAAAAGAAAAAATGAATGGCCTTATCCTAGGCCAATGTTTTTCAGCAGCATGTGTTTTATAAAGGCAAACTCGATTTCAACGTCTCTTGTGTCTCATCAGCAGCGTGTAGCCCGCTAACCAAACACGCACTTCCTGATCATGCAGGAAAGAGCACTGCCCCCCCACCAACACCATGGGGGTCCCCCGTTCAAAGCAGTACAGCAACGCGGTACATAACACAATGTAACGTTTTGTCAGCACATGGATGGAGAGGGCACGGGGGAGGGTGGTGGCAAGGCTTCGCTGCCTTGTCCCCTGAATGAGATCCGCTGAAGAGCGGTCGACTTGCCAAGCAACGTAAAATTGAATTCGACCGCGCGTTTAAACGCGTCGCACAAGGTCGCACGCGACCGGGCCGAGCCGTCGTCGCACCTCTCGTTTTGGTTTTTCAACGTCGATGCCGGAGTGCTGCCACCGCTTGGGGTGAGTAATGCTGTGAATTGAGGGTAACGGAGTATGGCAGCGGGGGTGGGAGCAGTCAACGCCACGGAGATCTGACGGACTCTGTCGTGTCGGCTTCACGCACATTGTGCGGTTTTTTTTGGCTTGTAAAACAAAAAAAAAAGTGTGACACACGCGCGCACGCACCGATCGACTCGCACAGACTAAAAAAAGAATACGAAAGGTGAGAATTGTAACAGGACGAACGGAGGAGCGGCCGCGTTTGTGCGAGAGGGCGGGCGGGCGGACGTGGGAAGTGTTCCGTCCAGCTAAAAACACGCGCACGCTCGCTTGCGCAACCGGCACACGGCAGGTCCCCCCCAATACGTGGCCACCGGTCGGCGTGATCACGTCCGTGGGGACCACGACAGTCCGCTGGAGAGAGAACACCCAAATTGTTTGAGCAGCTGTCCCCCGGATCACGGGAGGGGGGCGGGGGGTGCGGGTAATGGGTCCAGGTGCATTGTGGGAGGTTGGGTTGATGACACCCAACTGACGCCGCCGCTCACACAAGCCCAGCGTCCCGGGCCATGGATTGGAAGATGCCTCTTCGGGCGATGAGGTTGGTCGGGGAGTCGAACTCTGCTATTTGACCTTTGTCCAAGACGATGACCCTGGCACGTGCACGCAACGGACAAAAAGAAACATTCCGCATGTAGTTGTACAGTCAAAGACAACGGTTCCCCCATTAGTGTAACATTCAATCAGACTGTTGGGGCAAGTGCTATGGTCCCGGCAGTGCGTGAGCACAGCGCGGTTGCTCACCGGGTGTAGTCCATGATGGTGTTGAGGCGGTGAGCGATGGTGAGCACCGTGCAGCCCTGAAAGTGCGTGCGGATCGTCGTCTGGATGAGGTCGTCCGTCTCCAAGTCGATGGCGGCGGTCGCCTCGTCGAGCACCAGCAGGCGCGTGCGGCGCAGCAGCGCACGTGCCAGGCACACCAGCTGCCTCTGCCCCACGCTGCACGCGGGGGGGGGGGGCAACCACACACGCATCGTGTTAAACCACACGCACCGCATGCACACGTGTTAAGCTGCACACCACACACGCATCGTGTTACACTACACACACACACCACACGCACACACGTCACAAGCACCGGGTTTACGCCACGCACCACACATACCGTGTTTAAACCACTGGCACACAAATCGACAAATACGACTGCACGCATACTCAAATGTCGTGTCTGTTTATCTCGTCGTGCGTCTCTCTCGGTCTGTCGGCCTGTGTCTCTCTCAGTCTCACGTGTCCGTTCACCCCACCCCCTCCCCCCGTGCCTCTCTCTCGGTCCTCCCCCCCCACCTCCCCCTCGTCCCCCCCTTGTTCTCTGTCCGTCACCCGCGTGTCTCCACCTCAGGTTCTCGCCACCCTCGCTGCACTCGTGCTGCAGCTTGTCGGGCAGCGTCTGCACGAAGGCCTTGAGGTGCGACAGCTCCAGCGCGCTCCACACGTCCGCGTCCGAGTGCCTCCCAAACGGGTCCAGGTTCATGCGCAGGGACCCGGAGAACAGCACCGGATCCTGCCGGGAAAACGCGACTTCGGGCATCAGCAGACGACCATCGCCACCCCGACGGACAAAGCTATTACATTATTTAAACTAAACACATTTATTTTTTTTAAAAAGTAAGGCCCACTCAGCTATGTAGCTCTTTTTCAGAAAATGATCGGCTCAACGAAGTGGACCATCGCCGTGTGGAGATTTATCGCAGCCAAATACTCGAGCGGTGTGTTTCTGAACGTGGAGTGAAAAACCGGAGGACCTGGAGAAAAATACACACGACCGAGGGGAGAGAGAGAGAGCAAGCAAACTCCAAATACACAAGCGTCAGGGTCGAGCCCACGACCTCCTGTATGCCGGGCGAGGGAGTTATCATCTTGCCACTGTGGCAGGTCCACGAAGATATCCCAGACGTCCCTCGACGGACGCCGAGCAGTGACGCGAACGCCGCGGAGGAGATGCGAAAAATCGGCGCACCGCGCTTTACCCATCGGTGTCATTGACGCTCACGCTAGGCACAATGCGTAGCGGGCGCCGACGCGCGATGTTAACCCCCGATCGGTACGCGGGATGCAATGGCCTCACCGTCGCCCATTGCGGCTGCCCCTACAGCAGCCAACAGAGGCACCGTATGGTCCCATGCACCCACGTGACCCCAAACCCTCTGTGACCTTGTGTGGCCCTCCGCTTTGTTAGTTGAATGTCTTTCCCCAACACCTCCGATTATAGCACGGTTGGCCACGTACGTTGCCAAAGAAGTTCACCATACATAGGTCACAACATATCGTGACCTCGCAGCTCCCCGGTGTGACCCCGTGACCGCCACCGTATGCTCTCGAGTCCCCTGTGTAGAGCCCGATGCCACCCGGGGTGAGCCCACACAGGCCGCCGCCCCACGTGACCCGAGGGCCAAGTGCTCGCCTGTGGGATGATGGTGATGCGGGAGCGCAGGTCCTGCAGGCCGATGGTGCTGATGTCGACGCCGTCGATCGCGATGCTGCCGTCGGCCGGCTCGATGATGCGGAAGAGGCCCAAGGTGAGCGACGACTTGCCGGCGCCGGTGCGGCCGACGATTCCCACCTACGTACGCACGCGCAGATACACAAGAGGTTTTTTTGGGGGGGTTGGATCGCGTAAATATATAAATGTGTCGTTAAACCTGCGACTAGTAAGCTTTGTCACGTAAACAAAACGTGCCAGTTTGTTTCTACCACAGCGCACCGGTGTGTCGGAGAGTAAACCCACAGCAACATCTACAACGAGTACGACGTTTCGCAAGTAATTACAACTCGAATCATCAGGCGACAGCCAGAGACACGCACGTGCATCCATTGAGGGATACATACACGTAGCCATATGTGCATACACGCACAGAGAGATGCATATATACAGATGCCCCCACATATACATTTACCCAGAGGGATATGCGTGTATGTTGAACGTCTTTCACACTGTACAAACATGCACAGGAAGACACACACAGAGATGGACGCATGGTGATGCACACATATGCACAAAGATGCATATATAGAAATATACACAGATATATACAGATACACAAGACTAAGACCTCCCCCCTGTACAGCCTTAACAGACTGGAGCAAGTGCTGTTGGCGAGCATCTCATGAAGGCCGGCACTGCACACGAGGGGGGGTGGGGGGGGTGGCCAGCACCACCTCTGGGCTGCCTGTCACCCTAGCGGCGATATTTACACACCATTTGAAGCAGAGTTGTCGACTTAGGGGGAGGCCCATACACGCATAACCCAACACACATTCTACGTGCATATTGATGATGGTGGCGGTGTGTGTGGGCGGCCGCTGCCCACGGCCGCTGCCCACGGCCACTGCCCACGGCCGCTGCCCACGGCCGCTGCCCACTGCCACTGCCCACTGCCCACCTTCTCTCCGCCCTGGATGGTGAAGCTGAGGCTCTTGAGCACGAGGTCGAGGCCCTCGCGGTAGCGCACGCTGTAGTTGGTGAACTTCACGCAGCCCTCGTGGGGCCACTCGGCCGGGGGGCGGTGATCCTCAACCACCCACGCCGCCTGCACGCGTAGGCAGCAACACAAGGATCCCCCCCAACCCACCGATAGCTTGAATAGACCGTTGGGGCAAGTGCTGTCAGTGTGCTGCACTTGCGAGGGGGTTGGGTGGGCACAACCACGTGCGGCAGCCTTTGTCTGCCCAGTTGACACGTCGCAGCAAGTGCTCATTTTGATGGAAGCGCCGCCCCCCCCCCCCCCCCCGTTTGAGACCGTTTTAGACAAATCGTCATCGACATTGGCCGCGAGCGGGAATCCAACTCGGCTCACCGGATTCGTAGCGCAGCATGCTAAAAACGCGTGAAATTGTGCTTGTGCATACATACATGTGTGTGTGTGTGTGCGCTTGTGCATACATGCGTGAGTGCGTGTGCACCAGCGTGTGCTCGTCTCTCTGTGCACGCGTCCATGTGTGTGTACGTGTGTGTGCTCATCTGTGCGTGTGCGCGTGTGTGCGTGTACGTGTGCGCTCATCTGTGTGTGCGCGTGTGTGCGTGTGTGTGCGCCTGTGCGTGCGAGACCTCGGTGGTCTCCTCCGAGTACTCCTTGATGCGCTCGACGGCCACGATGTTGGACTCCAGGTCGGAGGACATGCGCACCATCCAGCTCAGCGACATCGTCACCTGCGACACGCACGGCCGCCCCCGCTCGTTAGCGCCGGCCAATCACATTAAGAAGGTGCAATGGGAAAGGATGGGCGGTCTAGAGGCCCATCGTAGGCTCGCACAGAGAAGCATGGCGGTCACACCGAGACCCGTAGACTCGCACAGACGCATAGATCCACACAGAGACCCGTAGACTCGCACAGAGACCCAGAGACTCACACAGAGACCCGTAGACTCACACAGACGCATAGACTCGCACAGAGACTCAGAGACTCGCACAGACGCATAGACTCGCACAGAGACCCGTAGACTCGAACAGAGACCCGTAGATTAGAGGGGCTATGGAGATGCCTCGCAGTGCAGTGCAGGGCAGGAGGAGTAGAGGGAGACGCCGAGGGGCGAGGTGGGAGGATGGGGTGGAACGAGACACGACGAGAACGGTGGACGTGTGACGAGAGGATAGAAGCACCACGGAGAAAGAAACTCCGAGCGGCCGACCACACTCGGTGACTAATCTAAATAACAAACTATTTCTATTTTACCAGGTGAGGCCCACCGAGCGATACAGCTCTTCGTCACAAGTGACCAAGCCAAAAATGATAGCTCCACGAAGTGGCTTATCATGCAGGTTACCACGGGGAGAGAGAACAAGCATACTCCAAATACACAGCGGACGTCAGGGCTGGGATGGAACCCACTACCTCCTGCACATCAGGCGCGGTAGTTAACGTCTCGCAACCGCAGCAACTCCAGCAATGGGACTTGTGGCTTAGAAGAAGTCGGGATGGGACAAGCCCCGGTTAGGGTGGGGGCGTGCAGGTAGCAGGGGGGGGGAGGGAGGGTTGGCGATGGCCGCACCTGCAGGGCGTAGGAGATGGAGAGGCCGACGAGGCCCGGGCTGAGCGTGGAGCGGTAGATCACGGCAAAGAGCGCGGCAAACAGCACCACGCAGTTCCCCACGAACTCCAGGCGGATCGCCAGCCACCTGCAGACACAGCGGCAGGGACGAGCCCACCCACCCCCAGCGTTAGCGAGCAGCAGCGATCGAAGGCCGTCGGGCGGGGCGCGGCGTTGAGGTGGCATGGCCGACACCACGCCGGGCCGGCTTTGTCACCCCTAGGTGGTGATGTTTACGCTTTCCACCGGGTGCCCGAGTCGAGCGTGTGTCGTGTGCGCGTGGCATCGTAAGGGTTCGCGTGCGCGTGGGATTGTGTCATTGCGCTCATGTCTGTGCGTTGGTGCGCGCGTGGGCTGTGCATGCACGTGCCGCCGCGTGTTCGTGCGTGCGTGCGTGGGTGCACGCCCGCCCACCGGTTGGAGATGATGGTGGGGTAGTAGCTCTTCTGGTTCTCGTCCACCTTGGTGTCGCTCAGCAGCATGAAGCGCTCGCACGCGCCGTACGCGCGGATCACGCCGGCGCCCAGCACCGTCTCCCCGAAGTGCGAGTAGACGGGCGAGCGGCTCACCGACTCCAGCCGCTTCAGCTGGCGCGATGACGCCACGTAGAACCGCTGCGAGCCAGCCAGCAGGGACGGGCGGACACGCGCACGCGGTGAGAGACGGACGGACGGGCAGACGGACGCACCCACAAAACAAATAGAAGGATGGTCAGTCGGACCGCTGCCAATTACCTTATTTTATACAGGCGCGTCTCGCTGAACGAGCGATCTTTCTACGGGAATGCTAGGGCAAGCGATGCATTTGGATGTTTTATTACTTCGTTTAAAAATTACAATTTGTGTGTCTCACGTTAAAAAAGTTGTTCAAGGACTGGAACATTTTGGCACCGAAACGTTACTCAGCTTTTAACATGCGAGTCGGTGGGAAAACAACGATGGTTTCACGAATTTTCACTTAACGAGCAATTTTCGTGGAACGTATCTGGCTCGTGAAGCGAGACGCGCCTGTAGCTATAGAGCGCCCCTTCAGTCAAGGCCCTTAACAGAGTTGAAAATACCGGGAGAGTAAAAACACGATTTAGATGACAGGGGGGGGGGGGGGGGGGGGGCATGCAAGGGCTGAGGAAAGGGTGACCACGACAGATGGTGTGCGCGCATCGGGAGTTACAAAAGGGTAGGGGGGAGGGTCGGGAAGGAGTGGAGGGGCGACGAGGGAAGAGGCCATGGTGGCTAAGAGGTGAGGCTTTAAGAGAGGAAGGGAGAGAGGTTAAGCAGGGGGGGGGAGGGAAGAAGAGGAGGACTGCTTTGTGTTAAACGCATCTCCTGCAGTGACGAGAGCAGCTCATCCTCCGGGGCGATTTGATTCTGACACGGGCACGGAGACTCCCCGGGCAGCGCCACCACAAGCGGCGCGAGACAAGAACCCACGACGGCCGCCCCCCCCCGCCACTCCCAACCCGAACCTGCACGAAGAAGTAGATGGCGCCGAGCGGCAGGAAGGCGAGCGCGGCGACGGGCGTGGCGAGCAGGATGACGGCGAAGACGGCGAGGACGTTGCAGAGCGAGCCCAGGAACATGCGCCCCACGCCGGGGATGGTCTCGTCCACGGTGTGGACGTCGCGCGAGAAGCGGTTCACCAGCGCGCCCGTCGGCGTGCGCTCGAAGAAGGCGGCGGGGCAGCGCAGCACGCGGCGCAGCATAGCGTCGTGCAGGTGGCGCGACGCCAGCACGCCGCCGAAGCTGATCGCTATCGAGGAGAGCAGCGCGGCCAGGCCTGGTCGTGGGGCGCGGGAGGGAGGCGGTTAGAGGGCAGGGAGAACATCAGAGAGCAGCGCTGTGGTTGACGCACTCGCAAGCATCAAGCGGGGTGTCCCGGGGCGGGTCTCGAGCACGCGACGCACACCCCCCCTTGCGACCGAGTGGCAAGACGCGTCCCCTCCTGCCTCCCTCGGCCGCGCGCCGACCGGCGGGACTCACCCTGCGCCCCTCCGAGGGCCCCGTAGACGCCGAGGCGCAGCTCGGTGCCCGGCCTCCTCGTGTCGTTGAGCTCCGCGTCGTTGGCCCACTCGCTGAGCCACACGTTGGAGCCCACGGCCGCCGTGTTCTGCGTCAGGTAGAGCAGCCCCACGGCCAGCGACAGCGGCAGCCCCACCGAGCGCATGTACTCCAAAAACACCGACAGCTTCACCTGCAGGTGGCGCGGGGCAGCACGGGAGGGGGGCGGGGCGGGCAGCACGAGAAGGGGGTGGGCAGCACGGGAGGTAACGGCAAGGGAAGAAGCATCGTCAGCAACATCCGCCTCATGATCGTCGTTATCGTCAATATCAGCAGTCACGGCAGTTAGATTTAGGGTTGGGCTGTGCCAGAGTTGGGGCTCGCATGGGCTAAGGGTTGGACTATGGTAGGGCAGGGTTAGGGCGATTGGTAGGGCAGCAGAGTTGGGTTATGGCAGGGTTAGGGCTAGAGTAGGGTTAGGGTTGTATTATTGCAGGGCAGGGTTGGGCCAGGGTAGGGCCAGGGTAGGGGGCAGGTGGCAGGGTGGAGTAAGGGTTGGGTTATGGAAGGGCCGAGATCATGTCACCATCAGGGCTATGGCGACTATGGTCCAACTTGCAGAGAGTCCAACGCCACACCTGGCACCGCTGCCACTCACCCTTCCCGTCTGCGCCGTCTCCGTCTGAATGATTTTCTCCCCGGGTAGTGCCGCCACCGTGCCGTCCGCTTTCCTCTTCCTCAGCTCCGTCTCGGCGCTGCCCGCCGGCCTGCTCGCACCGGCACCAGGATTTACCAAACTGCCGGAACGTGACGACGAATATCCCCGATTATCAGTTTCCCATAATGCCCCTGTGCGTTTATGTGATTAGGTGCGAGCCAATCAAGCTACACACGACTCTGGTAAAAGAAGACAAGTTTGGCTATCCATTCACGCGCAACAGGGGTCGCGATTGATCGGCACCGATGAGCGTCGTTTGAGTTCAAGGCCGTGTGCGTTGGGCGAGCGAGCGAGCGCGAGGCGAGGCGAGCGTGTGGACGCTTGGGCGAACCCTCACCTCGTCAAGTCGCCCTTAGCTCCTCCAGACACGGGTGACTCGGGCTCCGCTGCTGGGAAGCACAGACGGTCGGTGGACGTTACCCACGCGCATACATCACAAGCATATGTCACACGCATCTCGCGCACGCACACACACACGCGCGTGCATGGAGAGCCCACTGCTAAAAAACCAAAAAGAAACCAGCAGCATGCGCAAAAATATTCTCCAAAAGGCAATGCCAGCAAAGCATGCGGCATGGTAATTGATAAACGAGCTGTATCGTTTTAATGAAAGTCAAAGTGCTTTTGTCTGCTCGTGCAAGCTTAGGGTTTTTATCTCCTGTTTACGGTGCTGAACCAGCGGTGGGAATTCCACATTATAATGGCAGGGATGCGTCCATCCAGTACACAACCACTACCGACTTCCATTTCTATAGACCACGCAAGGTCAAAGGTGCCGAGTCAACCCACGACTGGCATATAAACTTTCGATTGCTGTACCACCTGTCCATTGAGTTCAGTTATCCTCATAGTAATTTAAATATTTACATTCGGAGCCTTTGTTATGAATCCACTGATGGATGATGAGCTCCCCAAACCATGACCATACTTCACAGACTTGATCACTGCAGGAAGGATCTGGCTGTGACGGTCTCACCTGATGACGGAGACTTGTGTTGCCTCCGAAACGTCGTGATTTTTATTATTTTATTTTTTATTAATTTTAATTACATTTTTTTACCTACATGACTTTACCGAAAAAAGTATGAATCCTTGCAGTCACGAAAGCTTCAAATCTAGAAATAATAATGTCCGTAGAGTTTGCACCGCTATCACGCGATGAGCCAGAGCCGCTCATCCTTGCAAAATTATTCTTTGGGTCTTTCGGTAATGCCACGTAGATAGAAAATTTATAAAAAAAAAAAAATATCACGACGTTTCGATCGCAACACAAGCAATCGTCATCGAAATGTCGTGATTAAAAAAAAAATTCTATCTACGTGGCTTTACTGAAAGACCCAAAGAATATTAATTCCTGCACTCACGAAAGCTTTAAGTCTAGATTATTCTTATTGGTTCTCTCACAAACACACGGTTAAAATTAAATGCAAGTTTTAGAAGAACAAGGGGACCGCAAAACATCCAAACCTTAGCTTCACTTCCAAAGCCCTTAAAAAAGAAAAAAAGCCCTTCGCAAACCGGCGGTAAGCTGAGATAACCACGCAGGTTCCCGCGGTTGTGCCGCAATGGCTCTCCGACGTACCTCCGGGTCGTACCGCGTGCGCTTGTCCGGCAGCACGACGTCCGACGTTACGCGCTCGTGTCGTTACAGCGAGAATCTCCCGGCAGGACGCGGAGCGAACACGTCGGACGTCACTCGTTGGGACGGCGCAGCGGTACGGCGCAGCAGTACGGCGCAGCGGCACAACGCAGCAGTACGGCCCAGCGGTACGACCCAGCGGTACGACCCGAAACCGCTCTCGGACAAAGAGCGAGGGAGCCGGCGCGACGCTTTTAAGCGGGCAGCACCCGGCACAGCATTCCGAGTCGCCAAAAGCAAGAGCAATGGATTCTCAGGACTCTGTGGCACTCCGCCAGTGTGAGAGCAAAGAGCAGCGGCTCACAGCTGGGTTTTTTTTGGTGGCCATGGAGTTTTTGTTCGAGACCACGTGGGAATGTCGCATTTTTTTCGCTTTTAGCGATCATGCCCTCCATGGGGAGGGGTCCTGAGAAGCCACTCCTGCTCGATGATTTCGGCGCCCGTGCAGAAACGAACCTGGTACCGCTTCCTCTCTGTCCTCGATAGATTCCAGGGAAATGGAGCCTTACCATCCACCCCCCCACCCCATGGAAGGAGGAGGAGGCGACGGACGACGACGGTGGGGAAAATGACAAAAAACACAAAATAAACACAGAACACGGTAACAAAAAGAAGAGAAGAAGACTTAAGGACACGGGGATAGAAGTCACAAACATTGCGGGCTTGAGAGTAGGAAGGATATGACCACAGGAGGGAGGCGGAGGACTGCAGAGGCAGTGAATAAGAAACAAATAGACCACAGGGAGTAGGCGGGAGGGCTTTCGGAACATTTCACTTCGACCAACGAGTGCTTGCCCTGTGTCATCCTGTTCCGTCTCATTTGCGTAGTTCGTCCCGTACATTCCTGACCGATTGGGCTCGGTTTCATTCGTCCCGTTAGGCGAGCAGTGGCAACCTGCGCACACTTTGCACGAGCACGGGAAAGTGCTGGAGGGTATGCGGGAGGAAGAGAGAGAGGAAGAGAGACGGGGAGCCCCGAATAGGACTGGTGAGAGAGAGAGTGCTGGAGAGCATGCGAGAGGGAGAGAGAGGGGAGAGTGCGTGTGTGTGTGTGTGTGTGTGCGCGTCGTGGTGACGTCACCGCCACTTAGTGGCGAATGGCGGTTGTTGTTGTTGTTGTTGTGCGTGTAAGAGAGGAGGAGGCTCTCACGGGTGTCGTCGCGCCCAGGACCCTCCTCCGCCTGTGCGTAGCTGCGCAGGAACTCGGCGAAGGCTCCGTTGCGCTGCTGCAGCTGCTGGTAGGAGCCCCGCTCCGACACGCTGCCGCCCACCAGCACCACGATGTCGTTCACCTGCGGCAGGAAGCTCAGGCCGTGCGTCACCAGCACGCGCGTCTAACGGGAAGGGTGGTGGGGGCCGGAGTGGGGGGTGGGGTGCGGTGTGGCGGAGGGGGAATTGGAGAGGAGAGGGCAATAGGGTTGGGGGTTAGTGGGGCGGGGAATGTGCACATAGCCACGATACTTGTGCCAGCAGGCTGCGTGCACTTTAGGACCACGTGAGGTGTCTGTCGAACTCTCGCTGGCAGGAAGTCACGGAACAGATCCCGTGTCGACCGAGACGCCAACACAAAGACACAAATACACACGCAGAGACGCACGGACACACCTGCCCCTTGAGGATGCCGCTGGGCCCGATGACCTTGTCGAAGATGTGGCGGCCGACGTGCGCGTCCACGGCGGAGAGCGGGTCGTCGAGCAGGTAGACGGACACCTTGCTGTAGACGGCGCGCGCCAGCGACACGCGCTGCTTCTGCCCGCCCGAAAGGTTGATACCCTGGGGAGGGGACGACACGCAGCGCACCGCAGCACGCGATGAGTCACGCTACAGCACGCACATGGCATCACGCATCACGCGCTGCCACGTCAAGACGCGAAGCCAGATGTCGCGCTATTAGACGGCACGGCAACACGCCATACAGCACACTGCACCATGTCACACAGCACCACAACCACGCCAAAATTGCATTTCTTCACCTCATTACGACAACACCGATAGCACATTTAATTGTAGAAAATAGAGCGCGCACTCACACATTTACAAAAAAAATTAGGCCCGGTCAGAGGCCTAGGATCTCGCCTAACCTTCTCCCCTATCTCAGTCTGGTCGCCGGCAGGCAGGATGCCCAGGTCGGGCCCCAGAGCGCAGGCGTCCAGCACCTCCTGGTACCAGGCCTCCTCGAAGGGCTGCCCGAAGATGATGTTGTCCCGGAGCGTGGCGTTCTGTATCCACGCCTGCTGTGACACCAGCGCCACGGAGCCCTGCACACGGTCCACGGGACCCAACGTCGCCACCGTTAACTCAGCACGCCACGTCGTGCATCCGACTCGCTGGCGACGGAGCTGCAGTACAATTTTTTCAAATATATATTAGTTACACCCGGGAAAACGCGGGCGAGTGCATCGCCGAGTTTCAAGTTGAATGCGGTGGCGAGTCTGCTGCAGGTGAGTGTGTAGCCTGCACCTTGACAGCCACCATCCCCTGGATCTTCTCCAGCTCTCCGAGCAGGGCTGACACGAGCGACGATTTCCCACAGCCGACGTGGCCCACAATGGCCACCAGGGAGCCCGTGGGCACCGACAGCGACACGCTGCACGTACACAAAGATACACAAAGATACACAAAGATCCCCCGTATAGCCTCAACAGACTCTTGGGGCAAGTGCTGTTAGCGAGCACCTATGAGAAGGCCAACACGGCACACGAGGGGGTGGGTGGCCAGCACCACGCCCGGCCGCTTTTGTTTCCCTTGTGGCGATGTTTACACACCACACCGGGTACTCGTTTGAGGCCGAGTCGACCTAGGGTTGGCCCAGGACCGGTACAGATAATGATCGGGTTGCTGGGTTTGTAGTGCAGCGCACTAGCCGCTACACTTCAGCTCCCCATACGCTGCAAAGAGACAAAGATCCCCCGTATAGCCTTAACAGACTGTAGGAACAAATCCTGTTCGCGAGTACCTAATGAAGGCGGGCACCGCGCACGTGGGGGTGGCGTGGCTGGCGTCTCCCCACTACTGATCATCGCGCAGGGTACTCGCGCATTCAAGGCTGAGTCGACCTATGTGAGGTGCAGGCCCGATTCATATATTCGCCACCGACTATAGCCGTGTCTAGCAAATCTGCCAACCACCGTGTTAAACGTCTACAGAATATGAAAATAAAAATGCAGAGTATGTATAAAACAGACACGCACGCGCGAGCGTACACACACATGCACGCGCGTACACACGCCGCTCAAAAGGTGCCGTGAGCCACTCTCGAGCACGCGTCATCTGCGAGGAGTAAACCACCCCCCCCCCGACGGGGCCGGGCGTGTGAACCTTACTTCTGCAGGACGGGCGGCTCCTCCTTGGCCCAGGCAAACGTCCCATCCGTCACGACGATGCTGTTTCCTGCGCGGCGAGAGAGAACAACCGCGGTGATCGCTTATCACGGCGTCGTCCGGCAACCGCCGCGTGGGCTCATTCACCGCCCTGGTGAAACACCGTGTGTGTGTGTGTGCGTGAGTGAGTGCGTGAGTGCGTCAAGGTACGTGATTGAGTGTGTGTCTGTGCGCGCCGTGCCGGCCTTCATTCCATGTTCGCTAACAGACTCAGAGCACTTGCCCTCAGTTTGTTGAAGGCTATATGGGGGATCTTTGTCTTTGTACGTGCTCATAAGGTAGTGTAGCGGTTAGGGCGCTGTGCTACGAACCCACGACCAGAGTTCGATTCCCACTCACGGTTCTGGGACTCCCCTTGGCCGACTCAGCCTCAAATGAGCACCTGGTGCGGTGTGTAAACTTCGCCACTCGGGAGACAAAGGCAGCCGGGCGTGGCGTTGGCCACCCACATCCTCGTGTGCCGTGCCAGCATTCATGGGGTGCTCGCCAACAGCACTTGCCCCAACAGTCTGTTAAAGGCTATATGGGGACACCTTCGTCCGTGTCTTGTGTGCGTGTGTGCATGCAGCGACGAGGTGAGGGGGGGGGGCGTCCTCACCGTCGGACATGCGGTCGCGGATGACGTTGTGAGGGTCCAGCTCCTCGTTCGCCAGGAAACTCTGCAACCTGTTGAGCGACACGGACGCCTGCGCGCGCGGGCACGCACCTCGTCACCGTTAGCCCATCATCTTCATCGCCACGTTCATCGATTCAACACCAAGACGTCACCAACGCACAATCCGTTCGTGCCACCGCACCTTGCGCCAATTATTTATTTACAACCTCCGCCAGATCTTTAAATTGCTGCACAGTCGACAAGCGACTGAAAAGATCCGCTCTAACAGTATCTCCCACTCTATGGACTCCGAGACCTACAGACATATATAAAGTAATATATATTTTCTATTTTAGCAGGTAAGGCCCACGGAGCTAAACAGCTCTTTTTTAGAAGCGACCGGGCCACAAATGATAGCTCAACGAAGTGGCTTATCACGCGTAAATTCTCGCGACTACAGGGAGAACATACAAGCTCCAAAAATACAGGGGTCGGAATCGAACCCACGATCTCCTGCATACCAGGTGACGAAGTTAACATCTCGCCACTGTGGCACCCCCATATATATGGGTCTCTATACGAGTCCATGGATCTCTCCGTACGAGACCGAAGCTCAATATGAGACCCATAGAGCTCCACAGACTCACAGATACCCATAGAGCTGCTCTAACAGCATCTCTGACCGTCTGCTTCAAAGGTCTTCCCCCCTTGGGGCACCAGACTCGAGGAGACCGGCTCCGAAGCCGCTCTCAGCGACCGGCCATCCTCGTCGCATACACCATCGTCGCCCTCCCGTCATCAAAATCATCTCAATACCGCCGGCTCGGTACTCGGGCAGCCCGGGCTGCCCTTCGGTTGAAGCCCCGGCCCTGACCAGAGCCCTCCGACCCACCTGCACCATGCTGCTGATGACCTGCGGCAGCATGTTGAGAGGGAAGCGCAGGATGTTGAAGAGCGTGAGCGACACGAACGCCTTCTTGGCGTCCAGCACGTTGTTCTCGTCCACCATGACGTAGACGCCAAACGTGGTCAGCGCCACCTGCCAGCGGCAACGGGGAGTAGGGGGGGGAGGGCGTCACCAACGTCAAAGGAGCACCACCGTAACCCACCTCCCCTCCCTCTGTGATCCAACCCCTTGGTGTTGCGGCTGCGGTGTTCGCAGCGGTGCACAAACACAATTATCAACAACAAAGACAAACATAAATCGTCACTAAATTTCGATTTAAAGCTTTCGTGACTGCAGGGATTCCTCTTCTTGGTTGAATTTTATAATGTTTTACTTTCATTATTTTATTATTTCCCTTCTACGTGACTTTACTGAAAGAACCAAAAAGATAAATCGTCACGTTTTGCTTCTTGTGTCCGGTTTGTCGTCCTTCCCCTGCACCTCCGATCGGCACGGTTGGCAACGTGCGGTGCGAAAGAAGCTCAATGGACATACGCAAGTCAAAAGTCCACTATGGCTATGGGGGGGGGGGGGGGGGGGGGGAGGATCTTTGTCCTTAATCTTTGTGTGCGTACGCACCAGGAAGGGTGCGCAGACCCAGGTGAAGGAGGACACGGCGTTCAGGTACGCCGCCTTCTTCAGCACCTGGAGCTCCTTGTTCCTGATCTCCAGTACCATGTCCTGGAAGGACGGCTCCCAGGCATACAGCTTCAGCACTGGGAAAACAAAGGCAAAGAGACTTCGTGTAGCCTACACAAACTGTTGGGGCAAGTGCTGTTAACGAACACGAGGGCGAATGCTGGGATGGCGCAACACAAAGGGGTGGTGTGGCCGGCACCACACCTGGCCGCATTTGTCTCCGAGTGACACATCGCACCAGGGACTCATTTGAGGCCGAGTCGACCTCGGGGAGGCCCAGGACCAGTTTAGATAATCATAACTGGTGTTAGCCTTGAGGGAATCGAAACTCGGATCGAGTTTCGTAGCGCAGCGTGCCAACCACTATACTACCAATCCCCACAGATGCATATACACACTCGCATTCACACACAGCGACAGCCTTGTTACAGCATGGGCAGAATGCTGGCTCCAAGTGCTGTTAGCGAGTGGTGGTGGGGCCTAAAAATTGGGACCGATGAACCACTCATGATTTTTGTTAACATGCGTTTACTAACTGCAAGGGGTGGGTAAAGCTAGTGGCGCTGTGGATGTGAGAGGGAGAGGAAGCTGCGTTAAGCGGGGACGCGTGTGCACCGTGAGGTCGGCGACCAAAGGGTAGAAGAGGAGACCTGTAGCCAGACGGTAACGACGTAGACAATGAGATTGTGAGAGTGGGCCTCGACGGACAGCGTCAAACTGAGTAACAACGGGAAGACCTGCGGGCTCGATGGCGGTGGTTTGCGATGAGCCTGTGAGAGCGGTCCCTGGAGGTCGGGTGTCGAATTTGCAACGACTACAGGAAGGCAGGCAAGGGAGCGACAGACTGGTGCCGAGACCTCGGACTCACCCTTGATGCCATTGAGGATCTCGTTCATGAGTTTGATGCGCGCGTCCTTGTACTTCATCTGCTCCACCTGTGGGCACCAATGACGCGGTGGTGACCACGGCGCACACAGCGCGCGCGCGCGCGACACGATGAACCCGCAACGATTCGAGCGAAGAGTTCAATCGGATATAAACGTTCGTACCTTCACTCCCGCACATGTGATTTAGCACGGTTGGCTACGTACGGTGCGAAAGAAGTTCAACGTACGTGCGCACTTCGATGTCCAGCGCCCAATCCCCTAGCTCAAGGCTATGACGAAGACTCTACGTTTCACAGATATTAGGCAGTAGCTTCACATTCAGGAGGCGACGTTGCTTTGCGTTTTCCCCAATTGAGAAACATGCGGACAGCAATTGTACTAAAATTTGTAAACGTTTGGACCGTGACGCCGGCACAAACATCACGGGACCCTTTTAATGTTCGCTGCAACGCAGACGGCGCGTATTTATCGTCGATACCACCACCCACCGCCCCCCCTCCCACCCCCCGCGGTATTAACCAGGGTGGCCACGGGGCTCCTCGAACCGCGAACCACTGCTGCAGAGCGCCAAACGCTCGTTGCAGCTCAGCCACGTCACCACCCAGTTTATTTATTTGTTATATCCGATTCCTTGTTTGTCCCGCCTGGACGGCATCGTGTGGACGGCCCCGTACTGACGGCCCTGTCTCGTTTGCTCCATTAGTTCAGAAGTCAGTTTAACACGTAGTAGGCTTTCGCAACCAATATGATTCACAATAAAGGTTTTTGGGTTAGATCACTTAAGTATAAATGTGTCGTAACCCTCCACCCCCCGACACGGCCAATTAGTTACTACCTCAGCCCACCGGTGTGTTGGAGAGTAAATCCACAACATTTACAATTCAAAAGTATCGACTGCAAATGATAATCATCAATATCCTTCAGGCACTCGGTTAGACCCTTATTTCGCAGGCGTCACGGTCAGCTTTCATCCACGTATCGACAAACGATCACACAGTGCAGCGCGCGAACCAGCCGCTCCGCCGCCTCCCCCCTGAACGTACAACTCAACGTCTCTGCCCTCGCGGCGACGACAACCTACGGGGAAATTCCACTTCGAAGACGCAACGCAGACACAAAACAGACGGCGACAGCTCTTCTCCTCGCATGCTGCACGGCCGTGCTGTGCGTTCACGCGCCGTGTGCCCACACCTGCAGACTCCTGGTCTTGACGGCGATGAACGCGTTCACGGGGATGAGCAGCACCATCACGAGCACGCCGGCCAGCACAGACGCGCCCAGGTTCTACAAAAAGACAAAGATCCCGTCGCCCCACCGTATTAGCGAGTCACGGGCCGTCGGGGCAAGTGCTGTTAGTGAGCACCTATGAAGGCCGGAACGGTACACGACGGTGTAGGGTGGCCAACATCATGCCCCGGCCGCCTTTGTCTCCCTCAGTGCTGATGTTTACACACTGCACAAGGTACCCATTTGAGACCGAGTCGGGCTAGCGGTTGAAACAATTATTGGTCGTGAGCACGAATTGAACTCGGGCACAGCTGCATTCGTAGCGCAAGTGCGCTAACCAATACATGAACACTCCCCGGATCGACACGTGTGCACGCACGCACGCACACACAAAGACGACGAAAATAATAATCATCATATAATACATGCATTATGTAGTTACCGAGTACAAGGCCAAATGCTCCAAGCAGCCAGCAACAATCAAGCAAGATCAAAGTTGTACTGGATAAAAGTTGACAAGTTTCTTGAATTGCGCGAGGTCATTATTTCCAGAAATGATGGGGGGGGGAGGGGGGCGGAGAGAATTCCAAAGAGGAGCGGTGCGAGCAGGAAGATAAATGTTGCGACCTGCAGTGTTGTGAGTGGGTGAGTGGTGTTTTGACCTGCAGAGTGAGTGGAGTGGGCGAGTGCGTGTTGTGACCTGCAGTGTTGTGGGTGGGTGAGTGTGTGTTGGGACCTGCAGTGTTGTGGGTGGGTGGAGTGAGTGTTGGAACCTGCAGTGGAGTGAGTGAGTGGGTCAGTGTTGTTGCAATCTGCAGTATGGTGAGTGGGTGGGCAAGGGAGTTGCTGCGACCTGCCGTGTGGTGGTTGACCGCAGTGTGGATGAGACAATAGGGTCAGTTCTGGTTGACAACAGTCCGCAACACGGCACCCGCAAGGTAACGGAACATCTCAGAGGGCAACATGTTTAGCCTCAGGGACCCCCTAATGACGACACAAGATGATTGGAGCACCAGTCTCCACGTGGGCCTCAGTCTACCAATTAGGGGCGATGCTGCTATTGCTTAATCCACTTTAATAGAGTATTTTACATTTGTCAAATTTAGACCATGACGCCAGCACACTGAAATAGGGAGTCCGTACAGCTGGAAGCGACATATAATTTTTTTCTTTTTGTGCGGTCGTTAGTGACAGTCAACTCGCTCCGCCTGAGAACTGGGTTCAATCATGGGTCACGGCCAAAACCCAGAATCTAACCCAGGATCTCAGCGATGTGTGGGCTCAGCGTCTCTGACCTGACCACGATGTTCAACTACCTTGAACTACCTTCGACTACCTCCACCCCCCGACCAACTCCACCTTTCCCACCTGACACCCCAAATATTGCCAATTGGGAGACTTGAAATCTACTCGGAGAAGGGTCCAAGGCTGAACGGAGTTCAGGAGGGACTTGGGAGGAGTTTGGCGTGTGGGTGGGGGGGGGGCAACATGGCTTGAAGTGCATCACTGAGGGTGGGGTCAAAGGTCACACCTGCCACAGGAAGTACATGGCGAGGATGATCTGCAGGGGCGCCGACCACATCATGTTGAGGTAGGTGGTGAGATCCATGAAGCGCTGGGCGTCCACGGACATGAGGTTCACGATCTCGCCCACGGTCGAACTCTTCTTGGCCGCGGTGGTGATCACGAGCGCCTGCCAGGGAACAGATAACGCGGCGATGCAAGGGAGGTTTAATTTCGCTTGCGGACAAACACGCCCCGCCACCACCCCGCGGGGCATGGCGGTCACAGAGACGGTGAGTGGTGGCAGTGCGGTCGGCTCACCTTGCGGTAGACGGCGCCCGTGATGGCGGTGCGCAGGTGCATGCCAGTGAGGAAGCAGATGTGGAAATACTGGTGCAGGATGAGCATCTGCAGGATGGCGCAGGCGAAGAGCAGCAGCGACAGGAAGTAGCCCTGCCAAATGGGCGCCTCGCGGTGCTGAACGAACCCAATGAGCAGGCTGCCGTCAGGAGTGGGGGGGGTGCATAAGAGGGATAGACAATCACGAACACACACGAACAGACACACATGCACAGCCAGACATTCACGCACAGCGAGACACGGACACTCAGACACATTCAGGCAGCCAGACACGCATGCACAGACAGACATGAACGCGCGGGGTTAGCAAACATGCGCGCGCAAAAACAAAGGTCACCCATATGGCCTATGTAGACTATTGGGGGTGGTGTGGCGAGCACCACGTCGGGCCAACTTCGTCTCCCCGGTCCTGATCTTTTCACACGTCATCAGGTACAAGGCATATCCAGGACGCGCACCGATTACAAAAAGATCCCCCCCCCTCCGTATTGCCTTAACAGACTGTAGGGGAAAGTGCTGTTAGTGAGCACCTATGAAGGCCAGAACGGTACACGAGGGGGTGGGTGGCCAGCACCACGCCCGACCGCCTTTGTTTCCCAATTGGCAATGTTTACACACCGCGCCAGGTACGCATTTGAGGCCGAGTCGACCTAGGAGAGGCCCAGGACCGGTTCAAATAGTCGTCACCGGTAGCGCAGCGTAGCGCTGACCGCTACACTATCTCTCCCCAAGACCCATTGGCACAGTCACGGCCCCCACCGTTCTGCCGCCGCCGCCGCCGCGGCTCACCTGAGGATCTGCGGCGACACGAAGGTGAGCATGTCCTGTGCCAGCTTGTACACGGAGCCCAGGAGGAACGCGGGCCCGAAGGCACGGCACAGGGCCCGCAGCAGGGACGGCCGGCGCCCGTCCTTGGCGGCGCCGAGACCCATCAGCGTCTCGGTCTCCTCCGCCTCCTTGGCGGCGGCAGCGGCAGCGCCAGAGGCCGGCACGTGGTTCGAGGTCTCCGGCGGAGGTTTGCCGGACGAGGCGGGCGTCCCGTTGGCGGCGCTGATCGCAGCAGCAACGACAACAGACCGGAGGGAGCACGTGGTCACCGACGTGTCTCGGGGCGGGGGGGGGGGGTTGGGGGAGGGCTTATTGACATTGACCAAGAGACCCTGAATTCGGATCTCAGTGTCGGTTACGGTTGCCACCTGTCCGGGGTTTGTATCTGGGCAGTGGGGACTTGGCACTCACGTTCGGCTGGAATGAACTCATCCTTTGTACCGAGATCTGGTAGTGTTGTGTTGAACACTATTAGGTTATACGATGGGAACAGTTTTGATAGAGGGGTGGGGGGGGGGGGGGGGTGGTTGGGGGTGGGGGGAGTTGACACATCCAAACATTCCTCCTCCGTGGGAAAAAAAAAACACGTGTAGCACTTTGTGGGGTAGGTCAACAACAACCACAACAGTGGTCGTCCTACGGATACCCGGCCCCCTACACAATAACGTGGAATTTCCACCACTTGTGGCCGAGCGCCGTGAACGGCGGGGGAGGAGCACCTGGGCGGCCGCGAGTGCTGGCGGCACTCCCGCTCCCACTCGCGCACGAGCCGCGGGACCATCACGGCCGACCTGTCCTCGGGGTTCAGCGACCACAGGTCCTTCGACTCGAGCGGCCTCTGGTAACCGAGGATGGCCAAGCTGCACGAAGCCACAGGGGGAAGGGGGGGGGTTAGGGATGGGGGCGGGCGGTTAAATGGGAAGAAGAAGAAGGTCAGAGGTGAGCGAGGGACAGTTGGAGGTCAGAGGTCACGGTCAGAGGCGAGATGTGTCCAGGCAAAGTGAATCAACACCGAGCTGCGCCTGCAGCGCAATAGGCTCATAATGGCCATGTCAAGAGGGCCGAGTTGGCACTGATGAGATCCGGTGTTGGTATCCGGGTTTTGGCCACCGGAGTTTCTCAGGACTGGCGATTCATGGTCTCAAACCGGTCAACAATGAGTTTTTATAAACGTCATTCCATATAAACGTCATTCGTAACTTCATTTTGCATGCAATAAACACGGCTCTTTGAAGGGCGTGAAAGAGGTGCGCCCATAGCGTGGATAAGAAATAGCTCTGTGGGGTCATCTTCCAAACCCCACGTATAAAAATGAACAACACGGCAGGGAGAAATAAATATTGTAACTTAAAAAAAACTGAAAAATTGACAGTGGGCTGCGAGGTGAGCTTACAAATCGACCTCACCTGGTGAACCACCAGAAGGTGAGGCGAGAGAGGAAGGAGGCACTGATCTCCGGACACGGATTCTGCAATAAAAAAAAACATTCACTTCAGCGTAATTTATTTAAGCACGAGACCGTGCCTGTGTTATAGTCTACGGGTCCTGTCTAAGTCCATGGGTCCTGTCTAAGTCTACGGGTCCCGTGTTGGTCTATTGGTCCCGTGGTACGTCTATGGGTTACGTGTTATTCTGTGGATCCAATGTTGGTCTATCAGGACACCATGGGGCCTTGTCAATAAGCAACCATGACAGGACCACAGTCAAGCACAGAAGCGACAACTACTGCAGCATCCTCTATTGTCCTTCCCTCGCACCTCCGATTAGCACAGTTGGCTACGTTTGGTTGCGAAAGAAGTCCAGCATACAGTAAAACCTTGGATTGCGAGTAACTTGGTCTGCGAGTGTTTTGCAAGACAAGCAAATTTTTTAAGTAAATATTAATTTGATAAACGAGCGAGGTCTTGCAATACGAGTAGTACGTGTATACGCTTTGTCTGCCGAGCGTCACGTAATCACAACTGATACACGAGTGCTTTGGATTACAAACACGTTTCCGGAACGAATTATGCTCGCAATCCAAGGTTTTACTGTACATACATACGTTCCAGGCTCGACCTTTTCAGTCATCGCAGGAAACGTTCAAATAATAGACATCCTCTCAAAGACAAGTAAAAGCTGGAAACCCCATTGCCTTCCCGCTGACGAAAGGATCCCGTGGAAAATAAATCAGACAGCCCAGCGCTAAACAACCATAAAGCACACACACACACACCGTATACTTCACAGTCGATGCCAAGTAGTCCCCGTCATGGTGCAGGTATTTCGAATGTGAAAAAAAAATGCAAATTACTTAATTACGAATAACACAGCTAGTGAGTCTCGGCCTCCCCCCGCCCCTCCCCTCCCCCCACCACTGTGAAAGCTTAGCATGACCCTCGTGACAGAAACCACGCCGGAGGCCCGGTGAGGCCTTTGTGTGTTAACTGGAGCGACAACAATAGCAGCGACAACAATAGCAGCGACAAGAAGAATGACAATAACACTGGTCACACACTTTTTCTGGCATAAGGTATTCCAACGGTTTTAATGTAATTTTGGGGTGCCGATTCCAAATCTGGCATCATTTTTTGTCTATCACATCAGGTTTTTGAGATATCAAATATTGCATTTTCAATAAAAACTGCAAAAGAAAAATATTAAATAAATGTGGATATCTCCATAAAATTATATTATAAATACACTATCCTAAAAATACAGCACCATATTTTAACACTAAAGCAGTCACCGACTCGCAACAACTTGCAATCATAAGTGACAGAGTTGATTTCGGGTAAAATCAATGAAAATGGGGTATGCCGATAGCATAAAAATTAAATGTGATAGAGCATAATCTGAGATCAGAGTTGGAATCAGCACCCTGAATTTAGTCTAAAACAGCTGCAAAAGTCCAGGCCAGAAAAAAATGCTTTTTTTTTTGACCAGTGTATATAAATTTCGATTTAAAGCTTTCGTGACTGCAGGGATTCATCTTCTTGGTTCTTTAGGTAAAGTCACATAGAAAAAAAAACAATAAAATAATTCTCACGACAGTGTGTATAATCGAAGCAGCCCTTACGGGGTCCTTGATGACGCGCGAGAAGAGGGGCGGTCGATCCGAAAACCAGGACAGCACGAACTGCACGCACACCAGCGCGAAGTAGACGTAGAACGTGGCGTATCGGAACCGGTCCACGTCCGGATCCTGCAGGGCGGACATCATCGTCATCGTCAATATCGGAATGAGACCGTGATGGTGATGTGGGTGGGTCAGCTGGTGATATACCCCGCATTGGCGAGATGTTAATTACCCCGCCTGGTTTACACGAGGTGGTGGGTTCGAAACACGACCCTGACCGCCTGTTGTAGATTCGGAGTTTGCGTGTCGCTCTCCTTGTGGTCGCAGGGATTTTTCTCCGGGCCCTCCAGTTTTTCCCTCCGCATTTAGAATTAACAGACGTTTAGAGTATTTAGCTGCTATAAATGTCAATATTTTTTTGTTGTTTATACGAGTCTGTGGGTCTCCGAGTGCAAGACCAGACGGTCAGAGATGCTGTTAGAGCAGATCTATGGGTGCGAGTCAATGAGTCTCCGAGCATAAGGGTCTCCCCATATGTAGTTCGTTAGTTACGATTATAATACAAACAACGACGTAGAAGGGGGAGTAGGAGGAGTAGGAACGGGGGGGGGGGGGGGGGTTGGAGGCCGTCTCACCTCACGTTCGGCAGCCATGATCTTGGAGCGGAAGGGCACGATACCGCACACGAGCGCCAGCAGCCAGAAGACGAGCAGCACCCCCGAGGACTGCACGCCGCGTAGCCGCTCACGCTGCACCAGCAGCGCCGCCAACAGCTGACCCGGGGCGGGACGGGGACAGCAGGGGCAAGGGCCAGGCCAGAGAAAAGGGTCAGAGGTCAAAGGTCAGAGGCTAAAGGTTGAGGTTACGGTTTGGGTCAGAGGTAATGGTCGGAGTTAGACATTGAGTGAGGGATAGATGTTAGGTTTGGGTAAAAGGTTCAGTTAGGGGCAGGGTAATGTCCATGCCAGGAGTAATGTTCGGGGGTTAAAGGGTGAGTTAGGGTTAAGGTTATAGTTAGGGGTAGCCGTTAAATCTAGGACCGGTGTTATGGTCGAGGTTTAGAGACAACACAAGTGCGAACGTGAGCGTTACATTAAGCGTCGGTGTTCCAATTTAACCAAGCACCGGGGTCGGCTTTTCGCCGTTTCGTTATAGCATCGACGGATACGCGAGCAAGAGTTGATTCATGGGTGAACGCCGAAGGTCCGCTGGCTCCCACGGAAACGCACCACGGTGGCGCCCATGACGAGCGGGCTCACGAGCAGCACGGGCGGCCGCCGCCGCCCCTGGTCGCGCTCCCACATGGTGTAGAAGAGCTCGGCCCAGCACACGAGCCACAGCACCGCCGCGATGACCTGCGTCGCACCGCGCCAAACAACCACGCGCGGCACCTCCCGTCGTCACGCGGAAAAACTCGCGAGCGCATCGTCACCGCGCGCGCGGTCGGCCCCGTTATCGTTATCGCGGTTGTCGTCGTCGTCGTCATCACCACCGTCCAAGCGTTGTCATCAAATAAACGTCCATCTCCGTGGTCGTCGTCATCGTAGCGGCGACGCGGCCCAGCGGTTGCGCGCGTTCGCCGTTCGTGTCCAACGGCCGCCCCCTATTATTACCGAGGTGGTGCGACAACCGTAAAGCTACTACGCGCCCATCTGCTTTGCAATGGACGTCAAAGATGCCAGGACGACATGAACAAGAGCGGACCACTGTGTGCCTAAACGGACTGTTGGAGCAAGTGTCGTTAGTGGGTAGCACTGATGAAGGCCAAAACGGCACACGCGGGGGTGGGTGGGTGGCCAGCACCACACCCAGCCGCCTGTCTCCCTGGTGGCGATGCCGACGCACCGCACCAGGTACTCCTTTAAGTCCGAATCGACTCAGGCAAGGCCCAGCAACGGTTCAAACAATCGTCAGTGTTGGAAGTGAGCGGGAATCGATCTCGGATCGCCAGGTTCGTAGCGGAGCGTGCCAACCGCTCAAACTACTGCTCCTCATACACAGACTGACAGCCACACACCTACACCGACTGCCAGCCGGAGCAGACAAGAAAGGAAGGGGGGGGGAGCGAGAAGTCGTACGGTCTTGGCGCGGTTGAGGTGCGTGCACTGGATGTATCCGCGGTTGTGTCGGCGCAGGTGCAGGTAGTAGAGGGGAGCGGCGGCCCAGAGGTAGGCGCAGGGGATCCACACGAGCACCGTGTTCTGGAAGCACGCCGTGAGGTCCGGGGTGTGCGTGTCCAGTGTGCGGTTCCGGTCCTGCGGAGCGTCGGGGTGGCATCGCAATCAGGAATGCGAATGAGCTATAAACTCCTTCTCACAGATGTCCAGTAGGGGGCAGGTCAGAACGTTACAACAAATCGTACAAAAATCACGATAGGAGCGCAAATTATAGGCAAGATAAGAAAATCACTTAAATTAAACAGTAAAACCTTGGATTGCGAGTAACTTGGTCTGCGAGTGTTTTGCAAGACGAGAAATACGAGTAGTACGTATACACTTTGTCTGCCGAGCGTCACGTGATCACAACTGATAAACGAGTGCTTTGGATTACAAACACGTTTCCTTAACGAATTATGCTCGCAATCCAAGGTTTTACTGTATATATATGTTACCAGGTAAGGGCCACCCAGCCATTTGCTTCCTTTCAGAAGCGACCTGGCCACAAACGATAGCTTCACAAAGTGACTTGTGTAGAAATGGACTGCAGCGAAATTAATCTCGATGCACGTTTCCGAATGTGGAGGGAAAAAAACTGAAAAAAAATCCACGCGAACCCCGGGGAGAACATGCAAACTCCAAATATCCAGGTGTCAGGGTCGCGGGGGGGGAGGTAGAGTGGTGACAGGAGATTCCGTCACACGGATGAAACGATACCGTGACGATACAACACATCACATCACCATCAATGTCGCCGTCAAGGTCATCGTCCTCAAAGTCATCATGCACACACGGAGACAGATGTCTCTGAATCATCGTCGTCACCATCATCATCCACCATCACCTAACTGTCTCTGCATCAATCTAGATCTGAAGTTTTTGTGACTGCAATGGTCCATACCTCTTTGGTTCTTTCGGTAAAGTCACGCAGGCATAAAATAAAATAAATAAAATCACGACGTTTCGGGCGCAACACAAGTGCCCGTCATCAGGTGGAAACAACCCCGGTAATAAACAAATTGCTGACATGGGCAAAAGAAGGCTGCTTGTGACAACGAGGCTCTATAAACGGTCTATAATATACTATCAGGAGAACTCGTCAAGATCACCATCAGGCAGTCTCCAGGTTTACACACTCAAGTGTTTTTTCGGTTGGGTCCATCAATGATCTTCTTTGTGTTTAGTAAACTTGACGAATGCAACCGTTTATTTTGCCCTTATTTATACTTTTCTGCACAAGCCGCGGTAATAGGGTACACACGCCAGCACCATCGCGGATAAGACGTTACACACACACCAGCACAATCGCGGATAATAGGGTACACACCAGCACTGTCGCGGATAAGAGGAATTCAACCGAACGCGCGATGGTCACCCAGAACAGACCACCATGGGACATCTAATGACTCAACGCCCGATCCACAAATACAAACTGAAAAACTATTTCAACTATTTTTTTACTATTTTTATTTTACCAGGCAAGGCCCACCGAGCGATATAGTTATTTTTCCAGAAGCGGCAACCTGGCCACAAATGATGGCTCCACAAAGTGGCTTATCATGTAGAAATGTATTGCAGCCAAATACTCTAAACTCGTGCCGATTCTAAATGTGGAGGGAAATACTGGAGGACCCGGTGAAAAATCCAGACGACAACAGGGAGAACACGCAAACTCCAAATATACAGCAGCAGGCGTTAGGGTCGGGATCAAACCCACGACCTCCTGTATACCAGGCGAGGTAGTTAACATCTTGCCAAAGCGGCAATGCACCACTACGCTACTCCGGACCGCAATCATCTGGCAAAACCACCTCAATGTCAAATTGCACTTAATTTTATTCAAACTTTCACGACCAATATTATAATTCATGATTTGTTTCTTTGGGTTTGGTGGCCGTGTAAACACACGTGTCGTAAACCTTTGCTCCGCACAACACGGCCAATTTATAAGTGTCACGCGAGATCCGAGCTTCCGGTTAACAATCTGACAATGGCTCGATGGAACCTCCAGCGAAACGTCGGTACCCATTTCAAAGTTGTCAGATTACTTTCCAACAACAACATCGACGACGACAACAACGACACCGGCGGTGGCGCTCCTCCGAAGCAGCAACAATGTTTGCACGTTTGTTTCACGCGACACTTTTATCAATTGGCTGTGTTGGGCGGGGGAAGATGTACAACACACAAATAATTTTTTTTTTAAACACGACGACCTAACCCAAGGAGAAACCGATTACAAATTAAAATGAACGTCAACGCCAGCCATATACACGAAGGAAGAAAAATTATACCGCACGACTTACCCCCCCCCCCCCCCCGGAGATGTTTAATTTTTATAAATCGGGAGGGATAGCATCTCCGTCAGCGTGAACCGCTAAACAATTACCAATGCATGAAATAATTGCGACGTGAACTAAATGCGCCCACGCACCGCCGTGGCGAGGTGTGTCACACGCCGTTCGTTACCCCGGCCCGGCCGTTCGACCGGGGTACCGGACGCCGTGTGACACACCTGTATGAGGGATGTGATGTCGATGTAACAAGCCCACTGCACCACGGTACAAGCCACCTGGGGTCCCGTTCCCTGGCCGTACAAAGCAGTGGAAAGCGATGGCGAAAGGTCCGATTCATGTGCTGGCATCCATTAAAAAAAGAAGCTACTTGTGACATGAGTTTGATTCCCGGCCACAAATAATATTCGTGGAAAGTTTTGTCCGAACCAACTCTGGCCACCACCCCGTGCCCCTCAAAGACAAAGATCCCCCCCCCCCGTATAGCCTTAACAGACTGTTGGGGCAAGTTCTGTTAGCGAGCACCTACGAAGGCTGGCAATAGACGCACGAGGGGGTGGTGTGGACAACACCACCCCCTCGTGTGCCGGGGTAGCAGACGCCGTGTGACACACCTGTCTACAACAGGTGCGTCTTATCTTTATGGCCCTGACGTCTTATCAACGAAGGGGCACGGCTGCCGCTTTACAGACACCAATGACGTGTTTTTTTTCGCTTCCCTCCACGGCAGCGTGTGCGTGTGGAGCGGAAATTTAAGTCAGCGATGCCCTGCGCTGCTAACCCGGTGACCCGAGTACAATTCAACTCACGGCCAACACCGATGACGATTATGTGAACGGATCCTGGGCCTCCCCTAGGTCGACCAGGCCTCACATGAGTGCAAATATCGGCACTGGGCACCCACCCCCGTGTACCGTGTCAGCCGTCATAGGTGCTCACCAACAGCACCTGCTCCAACAGTCTGTTAAAAGGCTATACGGGGGATTTTTGGAGCGGAAGTATAGTAGTTCACGCCCTGCGCGACAAACCCATGACATGAGTTTGATCTCCCGGGCTACGGCAAACATCAGTGGTGAAAATATTAACCGGTCTTGGTTTGACTCAGCCCAAAATTAATACCCGTTGGAGTGTGCGAACATCGGCACTGCCAGGCATGGTGCTGGCCACTAAACTCATTCAGCGCTGTAGTAGCTGCTCACGAACAGCGCTTACCCGGGTGATCTTGTCACACGTTGGGGATGGGATGTCGATGTGGCTAGCCCACTGCACCACGGTACAAGCCACCTGGTGTTCGATCCCTGGCCGTACTAAGCAGTGGAAAGTGATGGCGAAAGGTCCGATTGATGTGCTGGCATCCATGAGTGAAGAAGCTACTTGTGACATGCGTTTGATTCCCGGCCACAAATAATATTCGTGGAAAGTGTTGTCCGAACCGACCCTGGCCACCACTCCGTGCTGCCCAAAGACAAAGATCCCCCCCGTATAGCCTTAACAGACTGTTGGGGCAAGTTCTGTTAGCGAGCACCTACGAAGGCTAGCGAAAGGCACACGAGGGGGTGGTTTGGACAACACCACGCTCTAGCACCTTCGTCTCCCCAGCGGCGATGTTTACACACCACACCAGGTACCAACCCATGCTGACCATCGTGATGAAATATCGTCAAACGACCCTCGTGATCAACACGGTGGGCATCGGTGGAGGTGTTCATTCAGAATTGTGTGCACAAAGGCCTTTCTATTATTACGTCAATAATTCTCTCCCTCGCTCTTTTTTTTAAACAAGATTCACAAAAGAAAAAGTGAAGGACGGAGCACGGGACGGGGGTCCGAGGGGCTTAAACATCTCAGCTGCACGTGATTAAACGATCGCTGCACCCCGTTCAAACAAAACACCCGTGTGTCATACACACACACACAGCGCGCTCACCACCACCACCACCTTCTGTTGACCAGCTCTCTCCGCTGCCCAGCGGCCGTTCCACGAACCTTGGCCTTGGCAAACATCGATATTTGTTTTTGGGGTGGTGTTTCTGTTTCCATTTCTGTCATTTGAATCATCTCTTGATGGTTATAATGGCGTTGGCTTGGATTTTCTGTTTAAGGTCTCCTCACCACACGTTCCCTCCGCTAATGCCCCCAATCGCCTGGAATTCCATCACTTCAAATTGTGTCCCTCGGTTACTTTCCCATCTAACTCACAGCCCGATGCTTAAAACGGTCGACTCTTTACGATGACTGCACTTGCACTTGCATTTGATGGATATCCTGGCTCGTTTACATGTTTGTACTAAAAGTCACCCTGTACTTACTTAATGCGTCATGTTTCTGAGGCTTAGTTTTTGTATCTTGTGCTGGGACCAGTCCCGGGGGTCATCTGCCCGAGCCGATTTGTGCCACTGATTTTAATGAAATATTTTCTTGAAAGCTCACGCAATGCACTCATTTGAGTTTTTTTTTTCTGATGTCAGTTCGTGTCATTGCAATACTTTGCCTTGCTTTGCTCTGCTCATGTTAGTGACCCAGGTTCCGATTGCGAATTAAACTCTTATCCCTGTGTCTCCCGAGTTCCCTCCTTGTTAATAACAAAAACAATTTCGAAACGTGAATTTCACCGGTTTACTCTGAGGATATATCCAAAATGGCAACACAACTTTTGTTGTGCACTATGTGTGTGTGTACGGTGGCTCTCCATCGAACAAAGATGGTTACCGCATTACGTGCTTTCAGATGCGCTTCAACACATACAACTTTACATTAAAATTTCCTTCGTATCGAATCATGCTTCTACCTTCCCATGCGCCCACT